AAAAAAAAAAAAAAAAAAAAAAACTCCTCCTGAAGAAATGTCCACCGGCGTATATGTTCCCCATTTGCAGGTCATAGGATTCGACTTCGACTCCAGGAAAAATTTATTCATAAAAAAAAAAATTATCCAAAAGCACATTACAGATACGAATCAAATCATTCATGAGAACTTCGAGCTGAGAAAGAGCATCCGGGTAATGCCAAACGGGAGGGGGCGGGTCCTTTTCTGCGTGGCGTCACGTTCTGTTGTGTCTCCTCTGCTATGCCTACGTACTGTTATGCCGCCTTTTTTTTTCCTTCCCTCACGTGCAGAAACTAAAGCACGATATTTGCAGAAACAAAATAAAAAAAGACTACCTGCACTTCTCACTCATGGACATAGAAGAAGGGGTCGACGACGTCAAGTACCTAAAACAGAATTGCGAATTTCTCTTTAGTGACATAAGTAAATGATGAGCCAATGGACGGGGGGCACATTTTAGAGTGTCTAACTTTGTTCATATTTTTTCCCCCTCCTTTATTACGATAAACACACAGCCCCATGGCGGACAATCCACAATTGTGTGATTTTTTTTTTTTTTTTTTTTTTGGGGGATCCCCCTCACCTCAGATAATGTGATCAGCTCACTGGAGGCGAAGAAAAAAAACAGGAAACTCATTTTTCAAATTTCGGAACAGAAGCTGCGCGAGCAGATTAGTAACGTGGACGCGAAAATTTCAGCGATGGTAAGAGAGAGGACATGCACGCACACTGCTGCAATGATACACAGCCACAATGATACAAACACTACGGAGCTTCTCCCCCCCTCCACCGCTTTACCACTTCCCCTGTGTAGAAATCTGAGAACGTCGTGTTGGAGGCCAACATGCAGAGCCTGCTAAAGGAGATTAGCCAAATGGACAAGGCGGCGCAGGGCGATCAGGAGGAAGACGCGACCCACCTACTCGACACGAAGGGAAACTTGGGCGACGACGACGTTGCGCGGGTTAGCATGTTCTTCAAATGTTCTGATGCAGTTGTGGCTGGAGAGATCGGCGAAGAAAATGAAACAGACGACGCACCACATGTAGAGGGAGGGAGCAATCAACAAAATGAAACCGACAATGTGGTGGAACAAAGCCGCGACCACGCACATAAACAGGCCGCGGATCAGGACGCCGCTCCTGAAAAAAAAAAACAAAAAAAACTGCGCACCAAGGACATCCACGAAAGGAGTGCCATGCTACGGAAAAAATATAAGTGAAAGAAATGCGCATATGAAGGATAGGTCTTCTCATGCGTGTGTATATATTATGCGCTCATGCTGACATGTGTGTGTGTTTTTTTTTTGCCTTGTTTTACTGCTTCTGGGGGTGAGAAACGCAACCGAAGCGTAGAATACCCACACGTGACGCACCTCTACGTAGCACACCCACATGGTCTTTCTCCTCACGATGCATATGCGCGTCCCAGTACGAATCATTTGTGCCAAGAAACTCCACACGGTACCCCATTTTGCTAATTTCTCTCCCCAAGAGCCTCAAAAAAAAAAAAAAAAAAAAAAAAAAAAAAGTGTTTCCCCTTTTTTGTCAATGATTTTTTTTTTTTTTCCCGCATTTTTTACATGCCATATAGATAGCTTTTAAATTATTTTAATTCCCAAAAGGGATTATAATTTTTTTTTTTTTTTTTTTTTTGTGGCATCTGCGGCACTCTCCAACGAAAAGGTCCACATTGACGCCACCACGACGGAGGCGGTTAGGTTGGCTACCTGATCTGGGGAACCCCATGCAGAAAATGCGCTAAGGTTTTGTGAGAGAACTAAGAAGAAAGAGATATGTAGAAAATATGCGTAAAATTGGATTGGAAGCTCTCCCTCCCTCTCAGCATCAATCACGTTAAACGTACAAAATTGAACGCACCTCCCCTATGGCTCACTAAATGAGTAGCATCCCCTTTGGGAGATCCGAACAGTGCATCTCTTTCTTGCGCTTTCCCCCCCTTCAAATTTTCCAACTGCTCAGACGGTGATAGGACGGGGGAACGGCGGTGCAGATCCTTGCCGGACGCCATGAAAAACGACATCAGGAATGCGCTGGAGGCAGAGAGGGAGAAGGAGCAGGGGAATATTTTCTTTTCCCAAGGGGACTATGAGGTTAGGGTTCCAGTGTAATAGGCATATAAAAGCATATATATATATATATGTATACTGCTCATACAGAGCGTCCGCTACTCCAGTAACTCATTGAGCACTGTGAGCTTCTTCAATACCCCTCATGAGAGAGACTACCTAACCCATCCCCTCCCGACACCCCTTTGCAGCTGTCCATATTCCACTACACCAGAAGCATAAAATATATGCCAAGGTGCTCTATCCTTTACACGAACCGCTCCGTGGCTTATTTCAAGTAAAGAAGGGAGGGGAATTGTTTCCCGCTGATCGAGGGAACATGTGCCGACATTTAATAACGCGTGTACACTGCATGCCTCCTGGTGCGCATCATTGACGCCCTTATTGGTGCCCTTATTGGTGCCCATATTGATGCCCGTATTGACCCCCTTTTTCTTTTTTCACCGCGTGAAACAGGATCGGGTCGTTTCAGAAGAGCCTCGAAGATGCCCTCAAGGCCAACGAGCTGGACAAAGATAACCTAAAAAGCTATTACCGTATTTGCGAAGCATACAATGCGCTGAAGGACGAGGACAATTATAAGAAGTATGAACGACTGTACAGGGAGAAGCAGAATAGCCTGAGGGGACACAAGAAGAAGGACAACGGAGAGACAACTGATTCGCGGGATAAACGAGTAGATAATGACTCCTCCACGAGGGTGGGTCCACTTCCGAAGGAAACTGGCCCAGGAATGACAAAACAAAGGGGAATAAAAAAAAGCGATGAGTTAGTGCACCTTGGTGAAACGGACCACACCAACAAATTTGTCTTTATGAATCAACCCGAGATAAAAGACCAAGTATCTAATTTTACATTTGAAAAAAAAAAGTACAGAAATAATTTCCTCATAGAAGAAGTGTACGACTTTGACATGAACAGGACAGGGAAAAATCTCACCAATGGAAGCGTTCCAACAAGGAAAGCAGACGACACTTCAAATAACGCTGCTCGCGTCAATGGGGAATCTCAGAAGAAGCCTCTACTGACCCAAGCCGACATGCTCAGCGATATTGAACTCTTTCTGAACCTCTTTGCAGACATATCAGTACAGCCCACGCATATCATTTCTGTTCCCATTGAAAGAGAAATGAAAAAAGGAAAAATGTACCATTACCATAATGTGGATTTGAACACATTAAAAGGGAAGGCGGACGAGCTTTTCGCGGAGAAGAAATTCGACGTTGCCATGGACCTGTACAACGAGATCATTAGCGAGCATGACAGGTACGGTGTATATGTGTACATGTACATGTGTTTTGTGTGTTTGTGTACGGAGTGACCCCTGAAATGAATGGAGTGGGTTCATCCTTTGTGGTAATTCTTCTTGGGGATGTACACCACCGCTTATACACGCCGCTTCCCCCCCACGCAGCGAACGAGGCGTGTACTACTGCACAGTGCTCAGCAACAGAAGCGCCTGCTACGTCGAAATGAAGAAAATTCGGAGTGCCCTCTGCGATGTGAGCAAAACGCTAAGTATCCTTTTCTCATTTTTTCAAACACATAGAGAAAATATAAAACACGCCAAGGAGGCAGAAGCCCCCTCACCCGGTGCACATGAACAAGTGGAAGCATTTCTTCCAACAGACATGGAGGTTTATAAAGACGCCAAGGGAATCTACTCACAGGCACACAAACTGGTACTAAGGCTACTATTCAGATATGTGAAATTTTCACACGTGTATAGAAAAAATGGGTTCAAGGTTCCTTCCCTTTACCAGGTAAAGAGGAAAAGACAGCTATACCATGACCGCTTATATTGCACATCTGTTCATGTGTATCTGCACAACACGTTACACCACGCTAATATAATTTTTTTTTTTGAATCACTCACAGGTGGACTCCCTCAGACGCATGAAGGGAATAAACTACGTAAACTCTGAAGAGCTCGAGCGGGTGAGAAACAAGATCTACGCGCAGCTATAACTTCGTCCTCTTCTTATATACATTTCCTTTGCGTATTGCTTTAGACAGGCGTAGTCGACGTCCTTTAGCCATTCGTGTTTCTGAGAAGGGGAGAAAAAAAAAGGGGGGAGAGCACGCAGAGGTGCCCCTTTTTGATGGTCCAACAGGCTGAACAGTTCATGCAGGTTGAAGCGTACACATAATTCTCAGAAAAAAAAAAAAAAAACAAAAAAAACAAAAAAAAACTATTTGTTATGCCTCTATATAATGCACTCTTTGAAAAGCTTCCCCCTTTTTTTTTTTTTTTTTTTTGTGTGTGTTCCTTTACGAGTGCCGCTTCCGACGTGGGTCTCTCCCCTGGATCCCTTCTCAAAAGATTCTTCAAAAAATCAATGTCCGTATTTAACAAACTGGGGACACAGGAGTAAGGTACCTCTTTTTTCGTGTATTCATTTAAAAAATAATTTCTATTGAGGGGATACTGCACGTGGCCTCTGCCTATGTCTCGGAATAACTGAAGCAGGGATTCCTTCTGGACGAAGGGGATAACGCGGTAGAACAGGGCGTAGAGGGATATGCCCAGACTCCATATGTCTACCTTATCTCCGGAGTAGCACTTCCCGCTGGAGAACAACTCGGGCGGCATGAATTCGTAGGTGCCCTGCGGGGTGCGCGGTTGGCAAGGCGGTTAGCATGGTATCGCTGGCGATGTGGTTATAGTGGAACCGATCGCTAATCGGTTAGCGTGCCTCACCTTGGTGCCGCGTATCATCCCGTTGGCCATGTACTGGGACTCCCCAAAGTCGCCCAACTTGACGGCGCCGCTCCGGCTCCAAAAAATGTTAGACGGCTTCACATCCCGATGGCATATGTTCTTCTTCGTGTGGAGGTACAAGAACGATTTTAAGATACACTTAGCCACACATTTCACAACAGGAAGGGGAACAAACCATGGCTCATCCTTCCGTAGGACAAAAAAAACGCCATCGTACTGGAGTATCCCCTCATTCTCCATGTAACTATTCACAAGATAAATTTCATCATCATTTGCTATTATGTCGTCGAAGGTCAGGCAATAATCATTTTTTATGTCTGCCAGAATTTCTAATTCGTTTTTTAAGTCGTCGTATTTGGAACGAACCACCACTTGGGTGCAGTGGCTGTTCTTATGAAACTCCCTTTGTTTCAGCAATACTTTTTTTTTGTATTTTTTTATGGCGTAAAGGTTTCCCCCCCGCTCGCATAAAATTACTTTGCTGAGTTTGTCTGTGAAGGGCAGAAATAAGCACATTGTAGGGTGGCTATAGGTAGCCAGATGACGGGGCCAGAAAGATAAGCCCCCATTTAAGGACGACTAAAAAAAAATTAGTCGATTAAAAATTGCACCCCACACAGGCATATGTGCAGTGCATTGTGATGTTCTTCCAACCCTGCTTCAAGTTTTTTTTTTTTTTTTGTTGCCACAATTGGGAACACTTTTGCGTGCAATTGTTTCTTTTCCTCCTCATACGAATGGACTACACTACTCAGCTTTGCTCTTCCTCACGCTGACTCACTCACCTTCCTTGACGGTGCGAACAACACGGTAATCGTTCACGAAGCACTGGCCGTCCTTCTGTTTCTTCTCCAACGGAGTGACTTTATCGTGGTACCTCAGAATATCCCGCATGTCGCCCTAGCATAATGAAGATGTAATGCAACACAGTACAAATATACAATGCAGTAAAAAACAATGTGATAATTTCTCATCCTACTGTGGAGCATGAAACCGCGACTTCACGCGACGTGGCCCATGCCTGCTATTCCCACAAAAAGGCAGATGCTCGACGACGTAGGGGAACAACGCACACACATGTATTTCCCAAACTTGGGACGACTGAAATGTATGAACGGTCAGGCGTAAACTGGTAAATTTTTAACAAAAAAAAAAAAAAAAAAAAAAAATTTTAACAAATAGCTAGCCAGGATTAACCTCCTACGAATAGACCAGTAACATATTCCCCGCCTTTTATATACTTCCCCCTTTTTTGGCGTGTATTATGGCTGTGCCCAAAAAAAGAAGAAGCTTAAGTAAATGTAGAAAAAGAAGAAATACAATTTTTTTTGACAAACTCGTTGGGAATTGGCTAAAACGGAGGGAGTGGTGAGTCAAGCGCAGCTTTATTTTGTTTTTATTTCATTTTATTTTATTTTATTTTTACCTGTCTGCTCATTGCACACGCGGAGTGGGGGGCAGTGTCGGAAACTCCTATGAACAGTCGGCTTGTGAAAAGAAATGCGAAAGAGACATGCAAGAATTCCTCTTTCGTTCTATCATGTGTATCGGACGGACCCCCTTGATGGATAACCCACAGGGGGGAGGTGTGGGGGAGTACACAATACGTGCATGCTTGAACAAGTGTGTATTCCCCACGCCGATAACGTTAGCGTTAATGTTAACTTTAACGTTAATGTTAATTTTTTCCCCCTTTTGGAACCCCCTCTGGTCAGGTTTTTCAGGAACGAGTACCAAAAGGAAATTTTACCTATACAGCAGGAACCGCATATGTTTAAATTCCCGGGCTTCTGGCCAAACAAGTCGGAACAAAAAAAAAAAAAAAAAAATCATTTTGAAGTCCATACCAGTTGCGAGCTCACCAAAAAGGTGTTGCATGAAAACGAAACCCACTTTAGCAACGGTTAAGACATACCCATGTACCCATTCGTGCCCCTCGCAGATTTGTCCACCAAGTGTCGTCTCAAATTAAAAAAATCGTCAAGTAGTAAACTGCACAGGGGAGAAAGACCAAGTCACCTCACCTTTGGAACAAAACAATATTGCAAAGGGGAATAACTTTCCCACCGTTGCAACTCGACCCTGATAACCCCTGCAGGGAATACTCACCTCCAGATGAGCACTTCCAACATGAACGTGGCCAGACAACTCTTCATTTTTAGTCATAAGAGATTTTTGGGAAATACTGTTAGGGGCCCCCAACCAAAGGAGGTACGCACACAGCCCAGGAATGCGCCAAAAAAAAAAAAGAAAGAAAAGAAAAATTATAAGCTGAATGGCGTCCCTGTGTGTAGTTGCACATTCCACCTCAAAGGGTGCCAACTGGGGGAAATTTCCCCCAATATCGTCCACGCTTATGCTCATCCGCACAGCATTTTAATCCCTTTTTTTTTTTTCACCCCCTTCTCAACAGATCGCCAAAAATGTAGAATATGCAATGAACCTCTTTCACAAAAAGTCGTACACCTACCAAGACTTCAAGCAGCAGTGTGAATCGCTACGAATATTTGTTTACTTCGGATTGATGGGTGTGTTATCGTTGGACCTTTTAATAAACCCCTTGAAGTCTTCCTATTGGGATCGCTTTTCCCCCATGAACATGTTCACAAGTGTTTTACACTTTTTCAATAACAGCGAAGATGATATTTTCCGGCACAACGGGAGCGCCCCCTACGAGCAGTACGTGCGGCTCATTCGGTAGGAGGGGATTGCCCAAACAGATGGGGCTATAACCAGATTGGTTAAAGCAAAGTGTGTGTATTATAAGCTTTTCTCTCCAACCATCCATTTTCCCAACTTCCAACTTGCCTCCTTTTTTTGAATGATGCATTTTGACGAACTTTTAAAAAAAAAAAAAAAAAAGTGAAAAATCAAATGACCGCAAAGACTAGCTGCGTTCGGACGTCGCTCTGTTGCGGAGACAATGCGACGCGGAGGAGTTTATAAATACGTGGATTACGAAATGGGGAGTAAAAAAAAAAAAAAAAAGAAAAAAATATGAACAAAAAAGGGGGGGAAAAAAAAAAATAATAAATGAAACGTAAAGACAAAGATGGTTAAGGAAATGGCAGCTACATTTTCCCCTTTGGTCACTCATCTCCCCATGGATGTCTGTATGACATGAGGGGGACCGATAGAGGGGAAGGGCTACGTTAAAGGGCGTATTCAAAAGGTGTGGTCGGGAGAATTTCAAAATTTTGGGCCGCAGAACGGAGGGCAGGAAGGGGGACATGGGGCTGGATGAGCATCGCCACAGGTTGCACAATAAAAAAATGGGCAGTTGGTGCAACGTTCTTTTTGCTCCATCAGGTTTGGTTCTCTTTTCCTTCAGCTACACATCAACACCTCGCAGGGGTCCCAATTACGAATCTGTCACAAAGTGCACACGTGGTTCCCACAAGATGGCTTTCCGTTGTCAACATTCGAAACAAACATGGGCGTTTTATACCCCATTCGTGTCATCCTCATGGAGAAGCAGTGACCCAATTCTACTTCTTCACCTGCTTCGCCTTTCAACGCATCATCACTCCGACGAGGACGATGAAACCGTCAGCACACACGCCAGGAAAATATACTAAATTGAGAATTCCTCCACCCCGCGTAGACTATACTCGACTCGGAGGAACCCTATTCCGAATAAATCACCCCCTCCGCGAAGCTTTTGCAAAATGGTTATATAACACGTTCCCCAATTGGGACTCTCCCCCCGCTACCTGTGTGTCCTGCTCCCCTTCCTGAACCCGATACATCTAATGTATAGATTCTTTTTTTTTAGAATGTATTAACTAGCGCTTCTCGTATGATTTTCTTTTTTTCGCCAGTCAGGTTTTTTGGAAATATGATGTCAAATTCTACAATAAGGTCTCCCTTGGTGTTGGGCATTTTTGAAGAAGGCATTCCTTCCTTCAACACCACTTTTTTCGTTTGGGGAGTCACAATTTCGTCCATACGGACGTTTATTTCTCTATTGTCTAACGACTTCACAATGAATTGGAAGCCGGTGAGAGCTTTGTCCAGTGGTACAGGACACTTGTATATTAAATTATTCGATTCTCGCACAAATCTGTCATGTGTTTTTGTTTTTACTTTAAAAACTAAATCGCCTGGTTGACTCATTGGGGATAGCTGATCTCCTTCACCATAGAAAGTTATTTTTGTTCCGTCCTTCCAGCCTGCCTTTACATCTATGGTTACGTAATTGTCTTCTTCGTAACTCTTAGAACCCATGAACCTCTTGCGGGTTATCTTTAGCTTCTTTTTGCACCCGGTGTAGAGTTCCTCCAGGCTCAGCGACAGCGGCACTTCGAACGTCGCGGGCTTGCTGTAGTTGTTGTTGTTTACGCCTGTACGTGCAGGGGTGAACGGCGATATGTAGGGGTGAACGGAGATACATGGAGGGGGTGCACGCACATGCAGCCGGTGGTGAAGGCAAACGCACTTACTTGTAGACGCGGAGGGCCTCGCCTTCCTGGAAGTCATGTTGACAAACGTGGAGAAGGGAGAAAAGTCATCATCAAAGCCAGACGAAAAGGAAAAGTGCCCATCGGAGCCAAAAATACGGCTGAACAATTCCGAAGGATCCACACCACTATACACATAAGTATTTCCACCCGTGGGGATAGAACCCTTAAGTCCCTCCTCCCCATAGGCATCGTAAATTTTCCTCTTCTCCTCATCAGACAAGACATCATATGCCTCTGCAATATTTTTAAATTTTTCCTCTGCTTCCTTTTTGGACTTGACATCTTTATGTTTGTCCGGATGCCACATCATGGCTAGTTTCCTATAGGCCTTCTTCAGGTCATTGGTGGTGCAGTCTTTGCTCACCCCCAAAATGGAATAATAGTCCTGCGGAAAAATAAAAGGCGGCACATAACGTCGTTGTGGTGGTGGTGATGGTGGTGAGGGTAGTTGTACGAGCAGGAGGCTACGTAGGACTTGTTCAACGGTTCAGAAAAAGCTTTTCACTTCAGCACAATATTATAATCTACGTAGATATACAACATGGAGAGAAAAAAAAAAACACACACACACATAACGACGGGGAAGTGTAACACTATTCCCTTCAAGCAGCTCTCTTACCTTTCCCATTTTGCTATGACATAAAAAAAAAAAAAAAAAAAAAAAAGGGGGGGGGGGGGAGAGGGGTTCAGTTCAGATCTCCTTCTGGTGGTGGTGCGGGGGAGAGAGAGAGGTCTGCTTCGAAATGTATGCCCTACTAAACAGACGTGTATGTTCACATGTACGTGCAGGGGGTGATGGGAAGCTTCCGGAATTTCACAAATGTTAATTTGAACCCTCTACGGAGCCAAAGGAATCACACAAAAAGGGAGTTAGCACAGAGTGACATAAAAGGGGAACAGGAAAGAGGAACAGGAAAAGGAAAAGCAACAAATAAGAAAGTAGAAATATGGGTTCACTTAAAATTGTCGCGAAAGGCTTTTCCAAATTTTTTTTTTTTTTTTTTTAGGATTTGAATTTTTACCCAAGTAGGAAAAAAAAAAAAAAAAGAAAATCCTTTTTCTTTAACAAAAAAACGAGGACGGTATGAAATAAAAAAAAATATATACATATAAAATAAATAAAGGGATTGTTGGATAGGTATACATTTACCCATCATCCATGAGTAATATATGGTACAAATCCGTTTTCACGTTTTCACCAAGGAATATACATATATAGCCGCGGATTTAAGTACACGCCCCTGGAAGCGTGCACAAGCGGCATAATAATTAATATACTTTAAGTACCCATGCGTAGCCGTTCCGGCGGGGACGCGCATATATAAAAAAAAGGGAATGTGGGTACGGCTTGCACTTTTAATCCCGTTGCACGGATTCTAGGGGTAACAAGGGCATACATGAATCCATTCATCAGTCAGTCCATGAATCCACCCATCTACGCAGCATTTGTAAAAAAAAAAAAAAAAAAAAGCGTTTCCAACAGTTGTGCACTTTTTTCCCCCCGCGTGGCCCTCACTTCTCTGCAGATCCTGCCTCTTTGAAGTACTTCCCCTTTTTCTGCCTCATCTACATTTCCTAACATGCGTACGTTTGTGTACACTACACTAACACGACACTGTGTGGGAGTCCCTTTTTCTTTTTTTTCCCCCCCCAGCGCAAAGCCTCACATGTGGTGTACGCTTTTTGGGCTCGTGTCCGTGCCCCTCGTTGATGCCTTGGCCCAGTATAAGGCGCCATGTACAGGGACTAGGCAACACTTTTTGTGCTTCATTTTGAAGGCCGATCTTTACCCCCTTTGTTATGCTTTTCCAGATTGGCGTCTCCCGTCGGCCGACTTCTATTCCCCCCCAAGTGGGAATTCCCTAATCGCAGTTAAACAGCAAATGGTTTGAGAGGAAGAGGTACCCATCGGCGTTGCCCCCTCATCAGCGGTTGACCCTCCTCCACGTCTGCATGGTTGAAGCCATGGGCATGCTCCATTCAAAAATGGAAAAATTGCTTAACGTTCGGGTAGCATAACTACATGCGCACATATATATATATATATACCTACACGTAAAATCACACGAATGACAACGTGCGTGAGGTCTCTCCTCTCTCACGAGTGTGTTTTATGTAACCGTGTCCCGTGCGGGGAATGACACATGGAAAAAAGGGGGGGCCAACAAAGTTATGTTCACAAAATGATCATTTCACTTTTCGCCCCTCTCCATGTACGTTTGAGGCGGACGACAAAAATGTGGAAAAGCGTGTAACGGAGGATCCCATGCGAGATGGTGCCCACTGGAGAAGGGCATCTCATCATTTGGCCAATTCAAATGGGTATTTTACATTGTCGTAGCTCTGGCTACCCCTGTAGCGAAAGCTACGTTACACTTGTGTTACAAAAAAAAAAAAAAAAAAAAAAATAGAAGCAGGATAACAGGGGGCATAATACGTGAGACAGGAGAGAGGGGGCCCCTGTCGGCACCCCTTTCTGCTTCTACGGAATCAACCGCACAATGGAGTCGTCCACAATCGTTTCATACTTATCTGTAGCGTGAAACACACACTGCTTCTTCATATTTTCTGTGAGGCGACGAATGTCATTGCTGCTCAAGTAGGCCTCATAGGAGTCTTTATTGTTCCATAGCCTTAGCTGAAGGTAGCTGAGGGGGGAGTTCTTCAAATTTATTGCTTTAAAAAGTTTTGTGTACTCATATCCTTTGCTCTTGAACGAATGGATGTTCAGTTCGTTATAACTCTTTTCAAAGTTCCTTATGTTATTCGTATCAACAATGTACTCATCGATGTAAATTAAATCAGCATACATTCCCTTCCCTTTCTTCTTCTTCACATACTCCACGGTACCATAAGCGTATCCACAGAAGCAGCCAACGAACACCCACACGAAGTTCCTGTGACCTATGCTCGATGTTCTGTACCAGTGGGCGAACTGCTGCGTGCTCTGCTTCAGCAACGTCAGGTAGTCCCACGCCCGCATGGTGTGCCCCTTTTCTTCACTTCTGTACGCTCCCTTGTGTTTTAGAAGCAGAAAAAAAAAAAAAAAAAAAAAAAAAAAGAGAAGAGAAGAAGAAGCGGAAAGCCCAGAGGTGAATAACTATTGCGTTAGTTGTTTCCCCCGTTTATTCACTCACTCCATTAGGGTTGATAATTTATTTGGCCAGCCTGACTCTTTTTCACAAATGGCCCATGTTCGTTTTTGTTCCACTTGGGGATTAATTCCTCTTCCACAATATTGTAACCTTGTACACTTGCGCAATATTGGCACATTTTTTTTTTTTTTTTTTTTTTTTTTTTTATCGCTAATCCTTCCGCTTAGTGTGGATAGTATGCCTCTTGGACGCATGACTTCCTTTTCACGTGTACACTTACCTGTGCATCTCTTCCCCTCACCGCTTGCACCTGTAACATGTAGGGGCAATTTTTGCGAAGGTGTGACGCCACCCGCACCTGAATCTGTGCTACAGGGATGAAAGCCATTTGGAAGAATTAGTTTATTTTTTTCTTCAAAATTTGTATGTAAATGTTTTGTAAAGCCTCATGGCGAACACAATACATCGTATGGGGGGGGAGATACACCACAGCAGCACATCTCCCTCCCCCCAACAGACTCAATGCGCATGTTACGTATGTGCAGAGCCGCTTTTTACGAATTTGTCCTCAGCGCGGGACGTAACGTTGGAGAGCAAACAAAAAAAAAAAAAAAAGCAAAAAAAAAGAATGTAAAAAAAAAGGAAAGAGGGGACGTGTGGAGCAATTGGGGATACTTGCACAATAGAACATGTCCCTACGTCTACAGAAGTACATTCTAGTACACACTATAGTTTTGTTCGGCACGGGACTGGGGTGAAAAACCGCGTCCTCCTCATCTGATGGCGCTCTCTTACATGGTAAACGGAATCGAGAAGGATCTTTCTCCCGTTGTTCTTTTTAAAAAAAAATGGCAAAATGACCAATTGGGGTTAAGCCCAAAGAGGGGGGGTGAAGGTTTCTTACACAAGATGACCGTTGTGAGAATTTAGCACGGTGTGCCCCCTCCGCTTCTTCTGAAGAACCCTTTCGGGCGATGCCTCTATCATATGGCCCGCTCCTCTCCTCGCAGCTTCATGTCCCTTCCGTCACGCACAACGGCACAAACGATCGCTATAACGACTGCTATAACAAGCGGACGGGCACGCAGGGGAATTCTTTTGAACCCAAAGTTCGAATCTCCAGGGGAACATAAGTCGCGTCACTAAACGGTAGGTAGCATTACTTACAAAGGTAGGCAGCGCTCCTGCGCGGTGTCCCTTTTTTGGTAACAGCTCTCTCCTCTTGTGAAGGAAACAATTGGAGTTACTCATGCGGGACTAATCTGGGTGGTTCCCTTCCGGGCTCGCTTCTCGGCTCACTTCTTCCCGCACTTCTGCCAGCGCGTCCGCCCTTGCGCCCGCTGTGCCATTGATGAGGACGGCGCAGTTGAGTCTGTCCTGGAACGGCACGCAAAAGTTCGGGGCGCGGTGTTTGAACACGCGGTGCATCTTAAAGAAGTCCTTCATGGAGACTTCCTTAGACCCAATGGTTTTCTTATAAGGCAAAAGCATACCCAGGTCCCACAAATCAAATTCCTGTTTTTGTAGTAGCTTGGCCAAAGCACACAATTGAATGGTACCAGCACAATTCTGTCTCTGGAACCCTGTAAGGCTAGTGTAAATAGAACCCACAGTGCACCCAATTTCTCCTGCGGCTAAAAAATCACCACACCACAACTCGACTGAATGCATACGTACATTTTTGTAGGTAACTTGTTTTTCAAAAATTTTTTTAAATTCCTTTTGTACAAATGGGTACAGCCAGTTCTGTCCGTGTTTTTCAACAATGCCTTGCAGGACTCCATCGAAATCTTTATTAACAGTCATGAAATAATTTTTGCATTTTTTTTTTACCTTCCTAGATATGTGTATTTCACTGGGGTGCATACAAGATCTCACGTAATGTATTTTCGGGATCAGTAAACATTCCTTTACAATTTTAGTTTGATTATTTTCTACTTTATAAATCTTTTGTTTGTTCGCCACGGGGATGAATCCTTCATACAACAGCTGGCAAATGAATGCAGCATCACAGTGAACGCACCACGTATTCTCATGCTGGTAATTTTCCTCAATCAGTATGTCCACTAATCTTCTTATATTGTGATATGGCGTCAGGAGGGGGTAGAAATTAAGGCAGTTGTTGTTCTTCATTAGGCTGTATATTTTTGCCAAGGCCTGTGGGTCTTCCTTCGCTAAGCGCTCTATAATTCTGTTTATGTTTACGTCGTCTTCGAGCGTGCACGGGTGCGGCTTCGTTTCTTCTTCGTCCGGTTCGTCCTGCTGCTCTCCGTCCGGCTCGTCGTGTAGAGTGCTTAGCTTGGCTTCCCCTTTTTTGACCTCCCCCTGCTTGTCCTCCTCCCCGGGGCACTCCCCCTTCTGCGTCGTCCCCGCATTCTCTGCGCCTTCGACTTTGACGCCGCTACTTTCCAGTCTATCACAGGTACTCATTATTTTGGTGGAGAGTAAATATCTCTTTTTTTTTTTTTTTTTTTTTTTTTTTTTCTACTTTTTCTTCCTTTTCTTCTTTTTCGTCCTTTTCTTGTTGGCCACAGCGGGCTTCACTTTTGTTCTCCCTACCGTTTTGTACACCTATACATATACACATTTAAGTGGAGGTGGGGAGGGATCCGGCACGCTTCGCTTCAGTGTCATCAGAGGAGCGGTGTGTGCATAGGCCGCTGTGGCGGGCGAGCGTGGTGTTATATATAAACAGAGGGGGAAAAAAGAAAGAGAAACGAGAACAGGGGAAAAAAAAAGGTAAGAAATGGGCAAAATGAGAGAAAAAAAAAAGATTAAGGAAATAGCCTACTTAGCATGTTATAAGCAGGGTATAGATTTTCTCGTTTTTTTTTTTTTTTTTTTTTTTTTTTTTTTTTTCACTCATCTTGCTGATCCTTTCTGCACAACGTATGAGCCTTTTTTTTTTTTTTTTCCTTGCTGTCCGTTTTGCACGCGTTAGGTGCACTGTTGTGGGGGTCGGTAGGGCTTCCCACCCTCCATCGCAGGTCGCTACGCGAAGAGGCGACTGCACAGTTACCACCGGGGGTGTAGCGCGGAAATGCAGTTAAGTCCATCTGAGCGATGTGCACAAAGAGGATACATTTTGCTGTTCTCGCAGGAGGCAATTAAAAAAAAAAAAAAAAAAAAAAAGCATACCCCAAACCATCGCAGGTATTTCTACCAAAAGTGAACACAGTCTCCATGTGCAACTTTTCACGTGAACTTGTACGGAGAGGAGACCCATATGTGTGCCCCACCCCCCTGTGGACAAAAAAAAAAAAAAAAAAAAAAGGAAAAAAGAAACGCCGCTCACTGGAGTGAACATAAAGAAGTTGGAAATCCCGCGGGGGTAAAAGTTTTCATAGTTGCAAAAAAGCGGAATGTGAAAAAAAATGAAAAAAAAAAAAAAAAAAAATAAATAATGATAAATGGCATATGGGAGAGAACGGTGCGTATGTACGTGTGACTGTGCGCGGTATGTTATGACCTGTCCCGACAGAAACGCTTGACCCGCCTACCTGCCGAGCCCCCGCTGCGCGCGAAAAGCAAGGAAAACGAGCAAGTAAGCCACCTGCACAGCCATGCTGGCGAGGTTAGAATACACAAAACCATAAATGTCCAATTGCAGAATGAAGGTCAACAAAAGGCCCAGAGGGTGCATGAAGAATAAGAAATTGAAAAAGGTAAAGAAAGATATTTCCTCCTGTAGACTCAGACCCTTTATAATGCTATTGAGTAAAGATGCAAGGACTTCTAAGAAGAGCTCCACAACCAGGACAAAAATGATCCCCTTTAATTCGTTTTGTATGTTGATGTCGGTGAAAACGAAGGGTATTATCTGATCACGAAAGAGGTAAGCTGCAACCAAGAAGAGGGACAGGAAGGTTAACATGAACAAAAAGGCTAGCACTATATCCAGTAGGCTTATTCTGCTTCTTCTATGTCTTTTGCTTCCGTTTCTCTGTGATTTTAATTCAGGTAGGATACGATTTTGTGTGTCAAGTTTCCCCCATTGACTGACGCTGATGCCACCCCTGCCACCGCTGAGCAGGAGTTCTGGCACAAACCTGTGCCGTCTTCCATCTAGTCCATTTTGCCTGTCCATTCCTCTCTGTGTGCCTCGTCTATTCCTTCCCTTCGCCGCGCGCGAGGAGGAATAAATACTGATTAACTTGCTAAGGATAATGCCATACGAATTAGAAACGTAATACACCAGGTTGAGGATGTTATTAATTTGAACATAGGTAGCCACAGACGTTAGACTGAGGTAGGTGGCCTCGAATAGCTGGAACTCGAAGGACAAAACTTCGAAGAAAATATTTTTTATGTTTGTGCGCGCTGTTTTTACAAAGCCCTTTTTTTGCTCGTCGTCTGGTGGCTTGTGGAAAAAGAGGAAAGTCAGGTTGGCGATTCTTCTGTCGGCGCGGTCAACCGAGTGGTTTGGGTCTTCACAAGTTTCGCAGTTCGTGTCGTCGCAGGTTTCGTCGTTTGTGTCGTCTTCACCGGTGTCCTCGCGGATGTCTTCGCCGCTGCCCTCGCCTATGTCTTCACCTACGTCTTCACCGCTGCCCTCACCTACGTCTTCACCTAGCGCGCGGTCGGCGAGCTGCTCTTCGCCCACCTCGACGTAGTGGTCGCCGGAAAGTAAAAGGTCCTCCACGCACGACGCCAGCTGGTGCCCCCCACTCGTCGAAGACACACACCTGGCCAAGTGGATCCTCAAAAAGTACAAAACGCAACAAAAATTAAAAACATTCGTGAGCAGCAGAGCTACACACGCACCGACATACTTCATGCCCAAGGAGAAAACGAAGACGTAGCAAAAAAAATTCAATAAAATGAAAGACACAAAGGAAGTAAACAAACTGGGGTAAATATAATTATGAAGAATCAAATAACGTCTAGTGGACTCATATATAAATTGCGGGAAAAATGAAACAAGCAATATTTGAAGACTCGAGCAAAACACATGAATCATCTGCAAATGCCCAGGATGTTTACTTGCATCACCGACGTTGCTACTAGGATCCACATAAAGGGAATTTAAAAAAAGCAGAATCACAATCTTGGTTAGCAAAAAAACAACCATTACTTTGGCGAAGAACAAATAAAAGGTATAGTATGCTATGTTTAAGTAGAGCAAGGATAAATCTGTGTTAGCCATCGCGATAGAATAGCTACAAAAGTAATCCAAGCTGTTACATACTCCATCAACTACTGTATTGAGTAATGTGATAACCGATACAGCTACTCCGAACCCTCCTATCTCTTCATATGTACAAGAGTTAGACACATACAAATTCAAAAAAATAAAAAAGGAGGTCGTAATGATGTAGGATATCATGGTTTGAAATGACTTCGAAAGGACTTGGTTCAAGAGGAGATTCATCGTTCTGCAGAAGGACCTGAACAGGGTTCTTCCTCCTTTTCGTTTCTTCCTCGAAGGGACATTACCTCGTGTACTACCATTTTCATCTTGCCCGTCCAATGCCATGTCTGTGTTTGGGCAGGACCTCCCTGGGGTGGCCGCCTCCTGGAAACAAAAGCGAGAGGTACCTGGACCGGGAGACCCCAAACGGAGGTATCTCCCCTCAACATCGTATACGTCATCAATGAGGATATCGTCAAACATAGGAGAAGGAACATCACTCTCGAGGATGTTCAAATGATTATTAGAATGTCCACACATCTGCATCCCTGTAGAAATGCTCATACAAGTGGTAGGTGAACAGGAAAAGTTAAATGCATTATCGGGCAGGTGTCGATCTGACTCGTTCACCTGAACGAACCGGACATTTTGCCTCTGTGATATTTCTGCATTTCCATTAGACGTATTCTGCCTAACGGAATCTAACACATCGCAGGGTGACATTTCCTTGCCTTCTGTAGTGCACCTTTGGAAAAACTTGCCTAGCGACCCATCCTTCTGCACACTGTTTACATCAACATCTTCGTAGCCGCTCACATTTATGAGGCGATTATTCAGGGGGTTATGAATATTGGAGTCGTCCTTACGATTGGGTACCTTTCCTGTATGTGGGAAACAAATGCAACCGCCATGTGTCCGTTTGTGTTTGTATTTTCGTGCGTTTATTCAGTGGTGGGTTGGGCGCACCACCCCATGGCGAAGTCTCCGCCCACCGGTTGCTCACTTACCTGCGTTGGAATTTCTCTTCGCCCTGTTCGATCGACGGGGTCTCCTCCCGCCCCTCTCTCCCTGGTCATTCATATGGGGAAGCTGGACCACTACACGCAGTTAGGGGGTACTCTCTTATTCACCCGTTAGTACACCTTTGTGGTGTGGCGTCCTCATTTGGGGTCCTTGCAAAATACCCCCGATGTTACGTGAAAAGCTTCACCTGGGTGTGGCTTTCCCCTCCCACTCTAGTAAGTGTTCCGGTGGTGTGGAAAGGTCCACAGAGTGAGGGTAACGCTAAGAAATTTTTTTTTTTTTTTTATATATAAAAATAACACTCATCAAAATGGCCTTGTACGATTTTCTATTTTTGTGCAACTGGCTTGTATGGCCCTGTCCCTCTTTTTTTTGTTTTTTGCATCAGCCTGCACATATATTGGGAGAGGACACAACGGGTGAGCGAAGGTTCCTATTGGCCCTTACACGTGGTGGGATTGTTCAAGCCCGTCGGCGCGGTGCAGAATTAGAAGGCACAATGGGGGGGTATGGTCATCGCATACGATCATCGCGTATGATCATACGCGAGGAAAAAAAAAGGGAGTACCCACTTTTAGCGTCCCCACAAATGTACACATTCCTTTGCAAGCGAAATGCAGCTCGAATACGTATCAAATGGGACTTGCTCAAATTTAGGAGCATCGGTGGGAAAAAATTCCACAAGGGCGTACGGGTATGTTGTTACTGTTACTCAGTGTGGAAAGGGATAAAATGAGGGTAGTGCAGAGGGGGGGGGGCGATAGAAAGCAAAATGGAAAAAATTGAAAATGATCAAAATAAATGTTAATGGGGGTTCACATTTCTACATGTGTGGTAGATGCAGCTAGCCAAAATGTATGAAGAAGAACCCTCCTCCATTTTCGCGTTAGAATGCACCATTATAGGGTGCGCGGTTACGGTTAGGCGCTCCTGCATTCTGTGCACTAGTCCTACCAACATTTGAACCCATTACATGCGTTTTATTATTTGTTCCTATTTTTGTTCCATTTGGGGGGCCACATCTTTCCACCCTTTCGCATGACCCAAAAGAATCTTCCCCCCCACCGACAATCGGTTGGTTGAAACGTGCAGGGTGAGCACTACCCCACTTCTGTTCTTTTCTTTTCTTTACCATTACCCTGCACGTGAGGGGGTGGTGACATATTTCATTTTTCCCTTGCAACGCTAGACAGTTGTGCACACATGGAGGAGGCGACAGAGAAGGAAGAACGTGCTACTCTGTACACGTGCACATTTTGACTCATTTTATTTTTACCCCGTTTGGTTTCCGTTCTGTTGTTGGCTAGTCGTGTGTCCCTTCAATTTGCTTCCCTCCACTTATGCGTGTAGCAGGTTCCCATTGGGGTCGCAAAAAAAAAAAAAAAAAAAAAAAAAAAAAAAAAAAAACAGCACCATAACGCTTTAAATTGCACAGATTACCTACGCAACCACGGTAGTGGAGCAACAGGGGCGTTCATACACCGCACACTAAAAAGTGTTACCAATGACACCGTGAACGAACCTCCTCCTTGCGGGTCAACTGCCCGTGTTGGGTTAAGCGGCTCAGAACTGGATTATGCTTCCCCTGTTTTGTACCCAACAAGTATACGTCCCTCAAAAAGTGTCCTCGCTCGTAAGTTGTTCTCCTTTTACATGGGGGTGATGTACCTGGAGGGGCGTTTCTTCCCCCGCGGAGTGAAAACGAACCGGTGAGCAAACTTAAAGACGTTGACCTACACCTTGGCATGCTTGTCATGCTGGCCATGGTTACCCATCGCTCACAGGATCACATTCCAATCCCTGCCCCATACAAAGCCGCATTTATAAAATTTGCGCCACTTGCTTAAACTGCCCCAATTGTGGTAAGTGTACCTTTTGTGGCCGAAATGGTTTTCAGAGGTTCCTCCGTTTTTACGGGATGGAGAGATAACCCTGTGCTGCTGTTAAACTTTTTCCCCTCCTTCGCAAGTAGGGACGAAAAAAAAAAAAAAAAAAAAAAAAAAAAAAAGGCTATCCCCCCATTTTTTTTTTTTTTTTTTTTACAACCCCATAGAGGTTCCCCAATTTTTCTGTACAAGATGAAAAGGGGAACAAAGCCAAAGGACAAGTCGGTGTATTTTTGTGAAAGGACGTGAATTCAGATGAACACATACACAGAGCAGGTCGAGACAGCTCTTTCGAACTTTTCCTGAATGGAAGACTGGGTGTATGTTGAAAGGAGGCGACGGAGCAGGAAGAAGAAGCCCGAAGGGGGGAGCAAAGATGCCGGGCGTCACATCGCGCACACTGCGCACACCGCGCGTAGCACCTGTGGCCGCTTCACAGAGCACCCCCCCGTGGACCAAGCAAAGCTCGCAGAAAAGACATTGAGCGAAATAAAAAAGGTCATGACCTGCTTAGAAAAAAGTGACTTCTTTTTAAACTTCCATCAACAGTTTATGAAAGTCGTGGACAAAGCCAAGGTCCATATAAAATGCGCCATCTGCCTGGGCCTCGGTTCTTTAGAGGATCCTAATTGGAACAGCAGAAAGGCTTGCCTGTACCAGCTCGGCTTTATCCTACTCCTTGTGAGGATATACAATGTAAAGAAGGTATACATTTATGACCCTAAAATTGGGGTAGTGGACCGGTATGTTTGTGATCGCTTCCATGTAGAGGTGCTGTCCCGTTGTGAAGAAGAGGGTCGCGTGGAGGAGGAAGCACACATCGATCAGCCACACAGTGATACATGTGCGGAGGAGGAGAAGGACGATAAGACAAAGCACACCATTGTAAAACCAAGTGAAGACGAACGGACGCTCGTGTTCATGCCCCACTGCGATGTCTCCCTCTACAGCCAAGTAATGCACAATATATATATAAATGAAAAACTGAAATATGCCCAGGTCCATTTTTTACTCACTTTGCAGAAGACCATTCTTCTAGGAAATTCATTTGAATACTACCGGGAGCATATCCACATGTACAGGCCATTTGGCATCCCTTCCTACGCCATTCGCATGTTGCGAAATGGAACAGCTCTACCAGAGAGTACCAGTGAGAAGGACCTTAATCGATTAGTGAATTTTTACAAAAGTGATCACTTCCTTTTTTACGTCCACAAGTATGCGCGGCAGGATAAGTTTCCCTTTTTCGCTGACCACGTTTCCGCTTTTAACGACATGGCCATTATAACGTTTGGCTCCATGCCAGATCGACTCAACTTTTGGCTGAACGTGTGGACCGATGTAACCTCTGGGGGACCCAACTGTGAAATTGAGGGGTAAAATATACTAAAAATAATAATGGGGGAGAATCTCCATCCAATTTCAAATAGGTAGCTTTTTTTTTTTTTTTTTGTCCTCATAAATTTTTTTTACTAGACACCACTCCCCCCTTTTAGTGTGAAGTAAAAACTCCGTGGAGGAGACTCTGCAGTTCAGGTTTGCACCCCAAAAAATGGTGCACGGAAAAAAAAAAAAAAAAAAAAAAAAAAAAAAAAAAATTACGAAAAAATCACTGCAGAGAAATATATCAAAATTTAAAAAGAGAAAAGCATGTATATATTCTTTTTTAAATTACAAAAAAAAAAAAAAAAAAAAAAAAAAATACTAACACGGGGATGGGGAAGTCCCTGGCGAATATCCCCCCAGCAGGGAGTGTGTAACAAATTAGACCGTTCCACTTTTTAGCGCTCGCCTTGGTTTTATATGCTACTTGTGAGCAGCCGCACCCAATGGAACCGTGCAGGGGCGCGTCTCCTCCATTATGCTCCTCGGGATGCGCTTGCCATTCCACAAACAAAAATTCTCATTGTGCTGATTCGAACGCATCACCTTCCTGGTTCTGCTCTGCTTGCTGTCCACGCAGGGACCCCACGAGGACCAGGGGCTGTACTGGCAACCCACATTATCATTTTCCACCTTACGACACAGGTAAAAATTATTTACAGTGCATTTCCGAGGGACATAAGTGGCATCCCTCTTCGTTTCCTCAATGATCTGCTCGTTTGAAACAAAACCTGAAGCACCAATTATTTTGAAATCAGCATTGCTTTTCTCACTTTCGTCGTTGCACAAAACTGCTAACTCATAATCTATTACAACAGACATACTTTTGAACCCGACTTGTTCAGACTTATCACAGAGGCGTTTTATCCACGGGGGGGTGACTTGGTTACGTAGCTTCAAGTCCTTAATTTGGTGTAGCTTGGACTGCACATTGAGCACGTCCTCCTCGCTACACATGATGTATCCCCTGGGGCACCAGCAGCTAAGTGTGTGTGTAGGGGGGAAAAGTGTTTGTGCGTATGAATTAACACATGCATGAGTGTGCGTGTTTAACGAACGACTTCGTGTGTTACGTGATCATGTGGTCAAGCGAGTTACGCTTCGCTTATGCGCACACTGGCGCCACACAAGCGCGTGAGTGCATGGGGCCTTACTTGGTCCGGTCGCCCTCCGTGGCGGAGAAAATCAAACACGTATCGCCATCCACGTCCGGCGTAGAGGCAGCCGGCCATGTCCTCGTTCTTTTCTGTGCATGCTCGTAATCGTCTTCATCATGCTCTATGAGGGAGGAGTTCTCTCCAAACAATTTCTTACTCAGCTCCAGGCTGCTCTCTTGATATAGGTAAAAAAAAATGCAAACGAAAAAAAAGCGACTTTTTTTCATTACAGCGGTCGTACAAAAAAAAAAAAAAAAAAAAAAAAAAAATTTTTTATTTTCTCATGTTTGCTTTTTATCTCCCCTCTTTTATGTACTTGACAAATTTAAAAAAAAAAAAAAAAATTACAAAAAAGTAACATCACTTATTTTATGTGTGGATGGGAAAAAAGGAGAAACAACAAAGGGGGGGGAGGGAGTACCATTCCGAACAGGTGTGCTTAACGTGGAAGGGTTCATTTGCAGAGGGACATTTACAAAGAGGGGAAAAATAAAAATGTGGCAAAATTATATGTGGTACGGGAACAAATGGAAAGTGCTTGAAGGAACGGAGAAAACAGGTTCTTTTTTTTTTTTTTTTTTTTTTTTTTTCCCCTTTTTTTTTGCTTCTTTTTTTTTTTTTTTTTTTTCATAGATTATTCCCTTAGGTCTTGTCCCTTTTGTTGACAGATAAAAAAAAAGAAATAGGAAGGGGAAAATTGTTGTACATAAAAATGGGGCGCTTTAAAAAAAGTCTCCCCTCCAAAAAAAAATATCCCCAAAAGGGGGACCAACGCAAATTAAATTAGAACAGAGAACTCCTCACCATGACCTTCACCGCCACGCGACGATCGGGTGACTTTTCCACCTCGACGTCGCCGTCACGCACGCACATTCAAACTGCGCTGAAGGACGAGGCCACCCGTTTGTCCTTACGTGTACTACTTTTTTGTGCCGCGAAAAAGGGGGGAAAATAGTCAACACATGTATAAAGCGCCCTTTTCCAAAAAAAAAAAAAAAAAAAAAAAAATTTCTCCATTTTACTACTCCTAATCCCTAGTGCTGCGCTGTGGAACACTTTTCCCGCGAAGGGACAAAACAGAACGAGGTGTTTTTTTTCTTTTCCCCTTTTTTAAAAAAACAAATTTTTTCAACCTGGAGCGCGAGGCCCCCCAAAAGTATGTCCAGTCATAAAAAAAAAAAAAAAAATTGTTGTGTTAAAAATGAACATGTGCGTGGTGCATGAGGATATGGCTCGCGCGTTGGGCCACATGGCCGCTTAACAGCGTCCTGGTTAGCAGCGCCCTGGTTAACCACTCCACCGCTCACGCGAAGGGGCCCTCGCTGAGCGTGATCCTGCAGGCGATCTCCTCCAAGTAGACCTTGAAGCGCTTGAGGAAGGCCTGGATGGCCTGGAACTCCACGATGTGGTTGAGCAGGGGCACCTTCCCCATGACCTCATTAAAGGTCACATAAATGCTATCAAAAAATTTCTTCAAAATGTCCACAGCAGATTTGCTGACCTTGTGATTGTCATATATGGAGGGATCCAAAATGACACAGCTGATGTCGTAATTGCGAGAAGCTGCATCTGAGGTGTACTCGAAATAAAACTCCGCTCGGGATAAAAGTTCCTTCAACAAAGTGATCAGGGAACAGTTGTTTATGTACTCGATTTGCCCATTCTTGTCCTTCAAAAAACAGCCAATGCTATTCTGCTCATTAAAACTCTTTTCCTCATTGTAAAAAAAGAAAGAGCAATTATTCTTGTCTCCATTTATCCACATGGTGAAGAGGTAGTAGAGTACAACCGCAATTTCATGTTCTTCCATCTGCGACGCTTTCTGGTGTTTTATATTGCTTTGTATCTTTACATATACATTAATCAACGCCTTGTATTCAATTTTGTGATTAAGGAGAAGGTTAGCAATCCACACGATATAGGAACAGTAGTTTTTGTATGTCAAGACGATTAGCTCCGGGGTAGGGGGAGCAGCAGAGTTGGGGGCACCTTTCACACCGTTGGAGCCTCCACGAACGGAGGTGTAACCATAATCATTTTCGTTAAAGCAGTAGTTCACATTGTACAGGTGGTAGAGGGCCTTCCTGTCATTGCGGTCGATGGCTGCGCTGTTCCGCTGGATCTTCTTGGTGAGGAAGTCCTCTGCGGAAGTCATGCCGGTGTCTTCATTCGTGTGGTCTGTCCCGTCCTCCCGTCCGCCGTCTTGTCCCCCCTGCTCGTCACTTCGCTCATCGCCCTGCCCTTCCCCATTATAGTTGTCCGTGTAGTCGTGGTACGAGTACACGCTCCTGAGTTTGTGGTTGACGGCCTTGGAAACGAGCGAAAAGGGAGATAATTTGGAGAAAATAATTTTGTCCTGGTTCATGGTGTACTCATATGACTCATTAATCAAAATGACGTTCATCTGGGGGTCCAAATATATTAAAGGCACACAATTCAAAAAATAAATCAGGCGTAGAGGTTCCACACTACTATGCTGTCTCTTCCGTAACAACTCCACCTTGTTCTTCAAAAGACTCCTAACCTTTTGCATTTCAAACAGATTATTCATGAACTTGTGTAATTTCACCGTAACGAGGAGGTAGAGGCAATTTTTAAATTTTATATCATTCAACTTAATCACATCGCCAATATAATTAATAACGAAACTAACATTTTCAAAAGTAATGGAGAGGGAAAAGGCAAAGTCAAGTAACCTCTCAAAGTAAAAAGAATATTTAGCAAATGTACGAGCACTACATTTGGAGGTGTCATTTTTGATCATATGATTTACTGTTGAAAAGCAATTCGTGTTCATATTTTTTATTTTTTCCTTTTTCTTGTCACACAAAATTATTAACTTGAGCAAATTAAACGATGGTAAAAAATTCTGAAAAAGAAATTTACTATTGAAAAATATCTTGTCCTTTAATTCCTCTTTTGAATGAATACATTTCTGAATTATAAATAAATATTCTTTGAACGTATCCACAATGTCTGCAATTCGAATCAAATTTACCTTGCCGTTCAGGTGATTACTAATTTTATAATTATAATCTGTAATCACATCATCTATATGTTCAAATTTACTTTTTGATAAATATGCATACATGTTGGAGAAGGATTTTTTTACAATATCAATTTCTTCTCTGTTGATATTTTCTAAATGTGTCAATACCTGTAATAAATCTTCTTTCGTTCCGATCATCAAAACGGGAAAATAATTTTTCACCATATCCCAACTGCAAAATTTATACACATAAAAAACAAACAAATTTATTATTTCGTGGAAAAGTAACTTTTGATAATTCAATGCCGTTCTACATTTCTTTATCTCCTTCAGGTGTAAAAAGTACGTGCTTTGTTTCTGTAAATAATCTTCCTTCGGTTTGAAAAAGCAATTATTTTCTCTAATCAATTTCTTCAGGGTGTTTGCAAACGTTGGGTCATATTTTATTCCATTATCTATTGCGTAATAATTTTTTATAACTTCCTTCTTCAAAGCCACACTTGTGTTTAGTAGCTCATGTAAAGCCTTCTTCTTCTTCGCTCGTTCACTTCCTCGATCATCAACCCCGTTGCCTTCTCTCTTCCTTCCTCCTCCTTGGGATAATCCCCCACCACGCGCATACACATCTAGATACTCACTCAGGAACGTGTTCTTGTGTAAACCCGTCCCCTTCAAACTCCTCGCGCTGTACTGAATGATGAATATCTTCGCCCTCATGCAGCACTCCACAAACTCGATTCTCTTTTTTAAGCTCGGGTAAGACAAGATGGAGTAGAGGTACCGGTAAATGCTACTAAAAATTTCCTTCGTCTCATGCGTATACATAGGGTTCGACATCAGGTAGCTATTTCCAATGAAGTGGTTCTCATATATATAATTGTTATGAGCCAGTTCGGCAAGCAGTTCGCTGCTGTATGGGTCGTAGTCCACTGTGGGTTCCATCTCAACTGCTTCCCCAGTAGTGAATTCTCCTCTGCCTTGTCCACCGCTTGAGTGATTAGCACTGATGGCGTCTCCCCCCAAGGGCGCGGGTGCCACCGGGCGCGACTCCCCCTTGAGAAAGGTGCGCTGGTCCTTGTCACCCAGAATGGTGCCTTCCTTCCCCAACGAGTGATTCCTCGCGTGGGCGTCCCGCCCCCCCTTCTCCTTCTCTTTCTGCTTCTCCTTCTGCCTCTCCATTTGCTGCTCCGTTTGCTTCTCATCCGGATGGGGCCTGCCCTGCACCTCGCTCTGATAAAGAGTCCTCAAGGTGGGCTTCCCCGGGTGAGGATCGCCCCACGCACAAAAACTTTGTCTGGCGTAAAAAATTACCATGTCCTGATATTTCCTTTCTGAAAAGTAATACACATAAGCATCTGGTATATTCATGTCATTGAGCTTAATGAAGTAGTAAAGGTGAGGAGATATTCTTAGGTCGGAGATGGGACAAGGAAACTGATTATCGCATTTGTACAAAATGAGGTTAAAGATAAAAAAGTGCAAATTAATATCGCTCGAATATTCTAGTAGGGTTGTTAAAAATGTTTTAATTTTTTTTTTTTTTTTTTCATTATGCTTGAGTAAATATTTTGTATAATTCACATGTACAATTTTCTCAATGGGGAAGAAACAATTTTCAAATAGCACAAAGTAATCATATGTGTATTCCAGATCCATATTATTCATTAGAACGGATATTCTTTTTCTAGTGGAGCTCTCTCCATTTGGGTGACAAAACAAAATTTCATGTGTTAACCAGGAAGTGTTTTTTTTTTCAATAAACTTATCCCTCTTTCCCTTTTTCCCTCCTTCCATGACCAGTTTCTTATTATACTCATCAATGTACAAACTGATCAGTGTACTTGCACACCGGTAGTAGTCCGCTTTGTACAAAAGTATAATTAGCTTAAAGATGTTGATACTGATGAGGGCATCTTTCAAATTTTCGTGTATGAAATGTTCTGCCCGTTTTTCTGAAGCAAGTAAATCGTCAAATTTGTCCAGCGTGGAAATATCTCTCCCAACACCACTTCCACTAGGAAAAAAACTTCCACCATTGTTACCGTCTCCATTGAGGAAACCTGCACCCACACCACGTGCACCACCCGGCCCCCCACTTGAACCACGAAAAACTCCATAATCATTTTTTATCTTCATTTTTTTCTTCATGTAAACCTCCTCCTCAATCTTCTTAATCAAAAATAGAGCCAAAAATTCATTTTTGTGAATTATATACCCTTGGAAAAATTCCACAGGGATATACTTGCCCGATTTTATAATGTTAAAAAGACATTGCTTCAAAATATCCCTATACGTTTTACTCAAATATGTCTTCATAAAATTGCATTTTATAAGTAGATCGAACAGGGTGCTCGGCAGATAAAGGAAGTTTTGATTCGTCCCAATATTTTTTTTTCTCATGATCGTCTTGTTCTTATAATAATCACAAATGAGGATGGAATAGATAAGCAAGTACTCGATACTAAAATTTATGAAATTCAAAATGGCATAAAATTCATTTACTTCATTTGTCATTAGGACAGTGTAGTCTGAGTACACATTTGCAATAGAGGGGTCTGTTAGTCCTTTAATTTTTTCTGAAAAATGTTTTTTTTTTTTTAAAAGAGTGGTCAGGATGATGCTGACGCATAGATTTAGGCACTTTAATTTTTCTATCAAATTGAGGCAACAGTCTAGAGGGACATTTCCAGTTAGTATGTATATGTCGTCGTTTCCCTCGTACCAACTTCTCTTCCTCTTCTTCTTCGAGTACATATCTTCGTCATTCATTCTGATGATGCAAAAATCTTTCATGCTGTAAAAGGACTCCTCATTTTCATCGTGCCTCTCGTTGGAAATGACTGAGATGCCTACGTTGCCGTCCTCCCTGGCCCCTTCCCCCCTTCGCATCACTTTCCTCGCCTTCCAAGGGCCTCCCACACTTCGCCTATCAGCACTTCTTCCGCGAGTCGCTTGGCCCAGACCCGTTTGTCCACGACCCGTTTGGCCGCGACCAGTTTGTCCACGCGCAGCTTGCCCGTCCACACCTCGACCGACGGTCCGCCCCGCGCACTTAAACACATGCGTGTCGCGGTACCTCTCATAGGAAAACAAATGAATAAACATAATTGGTTTGAGCAGACGACTGAGCAGCAGCAACAACCCCCTCGACAAAACGTGCAGAGAATTATGGTACATGTTTACCGTCTTCAAAAAAAAAATGTCAAAATTTTTGTTCGTTAAATATTCAAAGGCAAAATTTCCACTTCGGTTCCTCTCCGCTTCTAGCAGCTTTTCCCTCATGGGTCTCTTCTGGCACACATTGAACAAGTTGTAGTAGCCTGAATTATTCTGAAGCAATTTCTCACTGGAAGGGTCTATAACAGGGTCACCCTTCAACATGCGAAGAGACCTTCCACCCCTCCATCCATCACCACCACCACCTCTTTCGTTCTCCCCTTCTTCTTCCTCTTCATGTTCATCTCCTTCTTCTGCCCCTTCCAAATTATTCATGGTATCATCAAACAGGTGATTTATTCCTTTAATTTTTCTCGTTTTAATTTCGAGCTCCATGGCCCGTTGAAGCTTCCCTTGCTTGATGATGTAGTCAGCGTCCTTGTCCAGGAAGCCAAATTTGAAAGGGGTCGGCCTATAAATTTTATTAAGAATGTCATAATCTATTTGATTCCTTCCACTTCTCCTATGTCCTGTTTGTTTCATTCTTCCATACTCATTTCCTCCCATGGTGCTACTCGTACTACTGTTGCTTCCGCTATGACCACGTCTTCTTCTTCGTCTTCTTGAAGTTGCTCCAGAGGGAGAAGACGTAGCTCCTCTTACATGTTCATTTAACCCCCCTTCAAAGTGAACAGCTCTTTGTTCCTTCTTCTTTCCCTTCTGATTTGGGTACGAAGAAGGATGTCCGTAATAATCTCCTCGTCTGTTCATTTGCCCATAAGCTTTCCTGTGCATACCCTGCATGGAAGTATCCCCATGGCGGTAGTACCACCCGTCTTCATCTTGATCACTCCCCTCACCATAGTCCTGGTGATACCCATAACTCCTCCCTCGAAGCATTTTCCTACCCCCACTAGTATTATACACGTTGTTGAAACACATTATTTCGTATTTATACACGTGATTCAACAACATGGTCCATATGACATACAAGAACTCATCCCTCGACGCCATTTTAATGATCTGGTTTACGTAGTAGTGGTAGGCCATTTCGGTATGGCTCGGGTCGCTCAGCGCAGCGGAGGGACTGCCTCCAGTGACGCCCACCGCGGTAGCATTTGGCATAGAAGTCGGCATAGCAGTCGGCACAGCAGTTGCAACAGCGGTGGTCCCAATTGCCGGTGGAGATCTCCCCGTAACAGTATCATCCTCCAACTTGGCCCCACCAGGTACACTGTTCCCCTCTCTCATTCGCCTCTCATTCAGAAGCACACATTTTATGTTTCTGTTCTGCGAGGTCATTTTATACGTTATAAAATGATTCACCATTTTTTCTATCATTTGCGTGCGGCTATTTTGGCTAATGTAATAGATTCGCTTCTTGGTGATTATGATCAGGTCGTAGTAGTCGTGGTACTCACTGACGGTGTGTTCATTTAAGAAGAAGGGGGGTATGCTTTCCAATCGTCCGGGGGCCTGCTCAGTCATCATGGACCTCCTTCGGGGGTGGTCTCCTCCGTCGTCCTTGAAGAAGAAGCTGTTATTGTTCATGAGGAAGTTGCTGTCGTAGTAGTTCGGCGCGCCAACGCCGCTGACCCCGCCAAGACTACCCACGCCGCCAACCCCGATAACCCCTCCAGGGCCGCTAATACTTCCCATGCCGCTTACCCCGCTTACCCCGCTTACCCCGCTTACCCCGCTTACCCCTCCCACGCCGCTAACTCTGTTAACCCCTCCTGTGCTGAGCGTAGGGGGGGGACCCCCCCCGTAGTACATTGGCTGCCCACTATCGCCTCCCCTCAGGGGACCACTCATCGGGTTGAAGTTGCCTCCATAACCCATCCTCATCGCGTTGTGCTCATTCTTCGAGCCCAGGCGGTTGATGCTGTCGCGTCTAATCTTGTCTAGGTAAAAGTCCTTAATAATATTGCTCTTCTGCGATTGCTCAAAAAACCCATGAAAATTTGAATTACGTTTCTTATATAAAATTGCAATAATTTCTTCGTTTATATAATACTCATTGGACTGCCTAAAGAGGAATTTATTTTTTTTTGAGGTAGACGATTGGGTTGGGTTCATGCCTATGCTTTGGTCACTACCTTCGTCGCAGGTGGTTAGTAACTTCAATTTGTAACAAGGGTGTGGGGGTGGCGCAGATGATGAGGAAGAAAATCGCTCCTGCTTCCTGTTCCCCCTTTCGCCTCTTTCTGCATGGAAGCCACCCTTCCCATCACTGTCGTAGTCGCTGCTGCTACCCCCTTCGTGCATGCTTCCCCCATCGCTATAACCCTCTTGGGCCGCTTCCCCTCTCCTTCTCCTATCCCCTTCTGCAAAGTCGTGTGAATTGGGTCCGTACCTAACTCCATTCATGGGGCCACCACCACCACCCCTAACAGGGAACCTTCCCATATGACGCGTCTGCACAAAGGGATCTCTACCTGTTCTTCCTTCCACCTGCTGCCTATCCATTCTTGAGTCCTTCCTGTTGTTATTCTCCACACCGGTAGGTATGTCGGAGACCCTCCCGCCCTCCTCTCTTTCTCCTCGTGCATCCCGCACCTTAACCTTCCTCTTCTTAAGAACGACAAATAAATTCTTCAAATGATGCGTGAACAAAATATTGCGTTCCTTATCATTAATCTGTAGCCCCTTTTTGTGGGGGAAATTCTGGAAGTCCTTGAGGACAATTTTGTATGAGTTCGTTTCAGGAGACCTCACAAGGCACAGGTAGTAGATGTTGCAATTGTTGTCCACAAGCTTCAGACATACGTTGCTTCTCTCGTGCAGGTGATTTATGTGCATGTCAATGATGCTCAGCTTGTTCAGCACGCTGTGCTCTAGGTTCGTTGGGTAGAAGAAGCGGTTCGCTTCGGAAGCCTTCCCTTGCGGGGCACCGCTTCCAAGGCTGATGCTTCCAAAATTGCTGCTTCCAAAATTGCTGCTGCCAAAGTTGCTACTTCCAAAACTGCTGCCAAAGTTTGTACCCACCGGTCGCCCCGCCATACCACCGTAAAACGCCTCACCAGGAGGGACACCCACAAATCCCTCGGGACACCCAAAACAGTTGTCGTCCACGAAGTAAATGTTACTCATCTCCGACACGAGGTCGCTCTTGGTGAAGATAATCGTTTCAGACAAATAATTCCTGGAGCTGCCCCCAGCCACATTATTGTGTAGGAGCTTCACATACAGGTCGCTATTCTCATATAGCACGTACAAAATGGATCTTTCATTGTCCACTAGCATTTTCCTCACATTATTTTTAAAGAAGGCAAAATATTTTATAAAGTACGTACTAATTATTTTCTTCAAATGATATTTCACGGGGACTTGCTGAATGTCGTCGCAGTAAATATTCTTGCTGTCCTCGTTTAGTGTGTCTTCTTCATCGTCTGGGTGCTGCGTCGCGGCACCTGCCACGTCGTTGGGGCTGTGGCTCCTACTGCGCGCGCTGCTCCTCTCGGGACTGCTCTTGTGAGGACTACTTCCAAGCGTCCGTCGCGACGTGCGCGAGGTGCGACTCCGGGATGTGCTCCTGCGCGTTCGCTCGCTTCTACTTCGCGGACTTCTACTTCGCGGACTTCTACTTCGGTGGCTGCTGGTCAAGGACCCGCTGCGGCTGTAACTGCGGGTGTAACTGCCGCCCAGGCTGCGGTTCTGCTCGTCTGAATACGACTCCTCTCCATCCAGCGAGTCCTCATCCATCCTGTTGCGAGAAAAGAATGCCTCATTGACTCCACTAACAACGGCACTGAGGGTCGTCACGATCATTTTTTTAAAAATACTCAAAGGCTTGAACAGCTGTTCCCTCTCGTATATAAACTCATACACGTTCCCATCATCGGCACCGAGAAAAATTCTCTCACTTTTCTCAAACGACTTTACAAAATGAAATTTTTTTTTCTGGTCTTCCTTTGTTAATTTAAAAAGTAAAAAAAGATAAATGTTGAAGTAGAAGGGGTAAATGTTCTGGTATATGAGCTGCTCACTGATGGACACATTATAATCCTCTTCACAATTAAAATACAAATGTACGTTGAAAATGTAAAAAGATAACTCGGTTACTACCATTAGGTAGTAGTTTTTCATTGAGTTATAAAACGAGTCCAAGGGGATAAACGAGTTTAGGAAAACCACGTCGATACACTCCAGTGCAGAGTCGATAGGTACAGACATCACTTTGCTATTCAAATTATTTAAATTGTATAAATGCAAATAATGCACCTCTTTTTTTTTCTCATAAAACCACAAAATGTTTAGCCTTTCAATTATTCCCTTTTTTTCGTAACACATGTGGGTCTGTCGCTGCTGATATGGTGCTACGCCATACCTGCGTCGATCAACTACCCCCTCCTGCTCCACCGTATTATTCTTCCCTTCCCCTGCACGTTCCGATAGGACCAGGTACCCCCTCCTGCAATGTAAATTAAACAAAATGTCCCTGTTCCTATTCACCCCCAACACATAATTCACCTTATAAATGTTATTATAAAAAATGATATTCTTCTTACTATTATTATATACCATCTGTTGATCATGGAGCATGGTTTTACAAAGACGAAGGAAAAGGTTAAAATCGCATGTCAGGTTAAGTTGCTCCTTGTGTAGCTTTTGTGCATCGTTTTTCTTCTTCACGTCTTCGTAACTTTCCAACAAGCGATCAACAGCTGTGTCGAACAATTCAGTGAGCTTCTTCTTCACGTTCACTCTATCATCTGTCGTCCCACCTTCTTGTAAATCTGACATGCACAGGAGAGAATTTTCTATCACATTTAATTTTGACTCTATCGAGTTTAAATACTCTCCTGACTTTATATCTGTTAGTAATATTTTGTACTTGTCGTACACTGAACTTATGTTCCTCATTTTGTTGCTTTCCCACTTTTCCTTGTGGTGCAATTCCTCCACTTTATGCTTCCTCTTCAAATCTTCATGCACTTGCCCTGGTTGTATGTACGTAGTGGTGCCCTGCCCAATGGTATCGTCCCCTCCTGGGGGCTGCAATCTCCCCATGTCACTAACCACCCCAGCTGGCCTCATCGTTTGATTATCCCCCTGGGTAATCTTCGAACTTACAAAGTTCGCCTTACTATAATAAGAATCATCCGCATAGTTTTTCTCCCCCAGATTCAAAATATTTTTCATGATTTTTCCGCTTTTCCTCATGTCTTCCTTGTCCTTCTTCAAGTCTCGTATCTTTTCATGGCTCTCATTTAACCTTATATTCATTTCGTTTGAGTTTGAGAGGATGTTCAATAGGAACTCCTTCTTTTTGTTGATGGCACTGGACGCCAAGTCCTCCTCGGACTCGTTCCTTCTGTTCGAAATGATATTGCTACAGAACTGTTTAATGTTATTAATTAGGAGAGGCACTTCTCCTTCTTCGGAGGGGAGGCTTCTCCGGCTTTTCGAACTTCTTCCACTTTTCCTACTGCGGCTACTTTTCCTACTCCTACTTCTACCACTCCTCCTACTTCGGCTACTTCCACTACTTTCGCTATCCCCATCGCGGTAGCGCCCTGTGCTCTCCGGGTCGGACGGGCTGCTCCCACTGGAACCTTCCCGGTGCCCCCTCGAGCGCGAGGCAGAGGCGGGAGAAGCGGACTGGGATGAAGACCTACGCGACGACGACTGCAATGATGACCGCGACGAGCGAGACGAGCGCGGCGACGAAGACGCGACGTTCCTTCGAATGCGTCCCCTGGCCTCGCCGCGTCCATGAGGAGACCTAGAAAAAATGGAGTACGCACCATTTTCATCATTAAAAATGGACATGTCAACATCATCTTCGTCCACTTCATCCCCTCTTTTTGCACACCGGTCGTCATTTTTTTTGCCAATTTTTTTTTTTGCAGAAAAAAAATTCTCATCGGAATCGCCTCCGGTGTCCTTCCTTCTGCTGGATGAATCTCCCTGGTGGTCCTTCTTGGTGAAATACTTTTTGTAGTGTTCACTTTTTTTATGTGCCTTTTTTTTTTTTTCGCTTCTGGAGGATTTTTTTTTGCGACTTTCTTCCTCCGTTTCGCTCACCATTTCGACTTCTTTTTTTTCTTCCTCTTTCTTTTCGCTTTTGTGTGAAACGCTATCCGCGCTGTACTTCTCCTTCCCGTTCTCACCGTCACTGCGACTGCCACTACCACTACTATTATGCGGTGGGTCTTCCCCACCTACCCGATTTCCATCATCACTGTTGTTGTTTCCATCCCCAGAAATCGGGTAATCCTTTGAGTCTGCCGACGATCTATTACTGTTTGCATTTTCCGAGTCGCTCTGTCTGTCCTCCCTCGACGTTGTGTCCATTCTGAACCTCTTTGGTCAAAGTGTGAGGACGTGTGTGTGTGTGTGTGGGGAGGGGTTGGTAAAGATGCCAGGCGAAGCGGAAAAATGGATTGACAAAAAAAAGGAGAAAAAACTCCTGTAGTGCCTTTGCATGTGTTAAAGGGCACCTGTTCACAGAGTTGCGTATTCACACTTGTGATTACACGCAGGGCGTTTGACGTGAGCCCCCCCTTCCTCGTTTGGGTTAATTTCCCACGAAGGGGGCACTCATGGGTTCGAAGCTCTGAGCGATTACGGTGGGGTTACAAAAATATGACTCACCCACTTTTATATATATATTGCTACTCGTACTGGTGACGAGCAATTAAGGCCTGATTTCCCCTTCTGTCCCTTGTTCCGTACTTGCACAACTCGACGCACAGTTGGAAGCACACGAAAAAAAAAAAAAACAATCATGTACCAAGTGTACGCTCGTTGAATGAGACTATTTATAAGATCTTTCCCTGGCAAAGTGTTGGTTGCCCCCCTTTTCTTTTCTCTTCCTTTTTACTTGTTTATTCTTTGTTACTCATTTGTTGCTTTTGATCTTCTTTTTTTTGTTTTTTTTTTTTTTATTTTGTTTTTTATTTCCCCCTTGTAGCTATTTTTTTTTTTTTTTTTAGCTACTTGTATGAACAATAACGAATATTGGCTAGTAAAAAAAAAAAAAAAAAAAAAAAAAAACTTCCAAAATTGGGAAAGTCGAACAAGAGCTTGGAACACAGTGGGAATCCAAACCAAAATGTGACAAACGACAGATTGTGCATTTTCTCGGGAGAGCATACGGGGGTGATGATGTGAGGTGAACTGTAAAGGGAGAAGCCAAGTGCAATTGGACTCAGATCCTCACCATGCGACCTACTCAATAGAATGAACGTTTCGCAAAGTGCTATATGTTGTGCGACAGAGAAAGAGAAAAAAAAAGGCCCTTATATGTAGCTGCGTGCATCGCTGCGCCTTGCCCAAGAGAGCAAAGGGCCCATTTATAAGCCTCTCGCCAAGCGGGCGCAAAAATAGGCGTGCATAAATATATGCCTTATGTAAAACAAACATGTGCACTCCTCAGTGCATATATTATATACTAGGCCAACGCGTGTGGAGGCGCGTGGGCTGTTTGGCAAGCATTTTTTTTTTTTTTCTTGTCGGGGAACCCCCCCCAAAAAATGTTCCTCGTTCCCCTGCATCACAACGCTGCCGCTTCTGTTGCCAGCGCCGGGAGGGCCCACAAGTACAACAATAAAAAAAATACATACGTGTAGCATTCACACGTAAGTGAACTCGTTCAAAGCGCCTCGATATAGGAGTGCACGCGGGAAGCTACTCCCTTTTGCAATTGTCCAAACTGGTGCGCCATGGAAAATCCCCCCATGAGGAACCCGCACATTTGGTGAGTTGAAAAGCCGGAACCGTGACAAGCAAACCGGAACAGCTTGCCACAAACCACGGAAATTTTTTTTTTTTTTCTCCAACTTATGCATGCGCACAGGATAAGCAAAGCGGACGGCCACACAACTGTGCAGGGTATGCATTTGAACGCGTTTGCACCTGTAATATGCGTGACATCCGAACGGCTCCACTACGTTCAAGCAAGTGCCGCGGCGCGCACCTCGTGGAGGATCCAGAACAACCGCCTCTTTAAAAATAGTTCTTGTGCTGGAGGCGCAGGCGACATGCATACGACGGGGATTTGCCTTCACAAAAAAGTGGGTAAAAAACGTGCACAAAAAAAAGGCACAAAAACGTGAACAAAAGAGGCGCAAAGAAGTTTGCCAAAAATTGCCCAAAAAAGGAAACCATTTGAGCAAACTTCCAAGTGAAGTGGCCTTTTCATTTGTTCCACTTTTGCGCATTTTTTTTTTTTTTTTTTTTAATTTTTTGAATATCATTACGTTTTACCCATCTGAGCAAAGGGGGATATTTTCTCGCCATGCGCACTGTAGCTCAGGCACTCCTCCCCCTTGCCTGATCGGGAGGCTCGCCCCAAAGAGGGCTCACAACGAGCGGACAAACGAGTACTCACTAGTACTCACGTGTGCTGCGTGCCCGCATTTGTGCGTAGCTCACCAGCCTTGTGCAGGACTACGAGCAGCACCCCTTGCCACGTCCTTCATTCGAAAAAGGAAAAAAGGGGAGCATCATAAAAGAGAGGGGAATAATTGCCGCCTCACACATACGTACAGTTAGCACTCCTCGTGTGTGTTGCAGGTATGCCGCGAACCTCCCGTTGGGTCATTTGAAAAGACAATTTACTTACCTGTAGGGGACTGCATGTGAACGCCAAACAGGTTAGCAGTGCCGCCCCGCCCTGTTTCTAACACTTGCAACAACAAAAAAAAAACAAGGAAGCTGCGCCTTTTGGGTCCCCCGAGAGAGAGAGAGAAAAAAAAAAGTTACAATGGCGGAACCCTACCTATCGAACAAGAAAATTTACGAGCTGCTGTCAACAAACAGCTACAGAGGACAGGAGAAGAGAATCTTAAGAGCCTTCGAGAGGAGGTACTGCAAGCTGCTGACCTACCTGGGCACCGACAACAAGCAACAAGAAATTATTTCCATTAAGCTACAACAATTTATTAATGAAAATTTGAGCTTCAGTGATTCCAAGTCATACTTCTTTGGTTTCTCCAAGGAGCTTCTGGTGCACTGCATGCGGGTGTACTTTTACGAGGAACTCTGTTCTGGCGCCAACTGCGGGGGGGTTCATCCGGACGACGTGGAGGATTACAGCAGTGATGGAGGGGATGGCACCGGAGGCCTGGCCTCTTCTGCGGCGGCTGCAGATGAGAGGCTGTTCAAGCACTTGGAGAAAAATGTGGACCACATCGAAATGACCAAACTACATGACGTATATTGTGATGAATATTTTTACCTGTTCAAGAATGTGATGTGTGTGTTGAAGGCGTGCGCCGTGTTTTATGCCTACCCGAATTACAAAGCAGAGGATCTGGCATTCGAGAGGAACTTTTTCTACGTACTGTTTGAGCTGGTGGAAGTAAAACTGAACATCCAACAGCTCCTGCAAATATACTTCGACACATACAAAGACACAAACAATTATTTTGAAATGATTAACAAGACAGATGTAGAGAATAGGACATGGGTGTACAAGTACATTATCCTCTTCCTGAACGTTCAGATTTGTTGCATTAATATTTTTTTTTACATGCAGATTAGGCAAAACGTTTTTTCAAAATATAATTTAAAGTCCATGGTGAGCATATTTTTGTCTTCGTCTCATGTGGACAGCCATACTGTATTAAGCGCATCGGACTGGGGAGGAATAACAGAAAGAGACCACAGCGACATCGTTACCAGCACTCTCCTGCAGAAAGAATACTCCGTAATTTTTCTCATGGCCTCAGTGAGTAATCTTCTAACATGGGAAGAGCACAACAAACTTATAAAAGGTGTCTCCCCTCAGTCAGCCATTTTAATGAAATTTTTTTTTCTCTTTAAAGATGAAAAGAATTTTAAAAACTACGAAGAGAATATTCGTATCGTAGCCCAGTGTCTACCTCACCTGTACGAAATTATAAACAAGTTTTACCTCATGAGTGACAATTTTGTGTACAAGAGGATTATCCTGCGTGTGCTTAACAATGCTCTTTGCACCGAGAAAGACAGGGAAGTGGACGTCGTCCTCCCCTTCGATGATGACACAGACATGGGCCGGAACAACAATAACAGTTGTTCAGATAATACGGACGAGATGGGAGGAGGGGCCGGTGCCCACCTGTTCAGTCGAGATCACAAATGGGGCAAATCACATCCAAGTGACCAGTCGTCAAAATGTTATGGCGGAAGGAGGGGAAAGAAGTCTCAAGTGGGGAGGGATGATTTCTCATCTGCTTCCAATTGCATGACCGAGGAGGAAGAGGAAGAAAAAGAGGAGAAAGGAGAGGAAGATGGTAAAGGGAAAATGCGCCACGTAACCTTTACCCCCATGTCTGAAAGAGACATAAATTTCTCCCTCATAAAAAACATGAAGAAACATATCGAGAAGAAAGAATTTTTTAAAAAAACAATAAACTTAAAATTATTTTTGAAAATCTGCATATGTCTCTGTAGCAAGGAAGACTACATCTTGTTCAGCCAAGATATATTAAAAGAAGGAAGGAATATTCACCTGTGCATACAGTACCTACAGGAGGACGACTCTCAGATTGAGTTGGATCTGTACGCCGAAAAGTATTTCCTTTACGACTTCAATTACAATAACACAGAAATTGTGACCACTCAGGAGGAGAGGAAAAAAAGGGTGTCTTCCTACCTCTCCATAGAAAGCAAAAATATTTTGGTAGAAATTTCGAGTCTTTTTTTTTCATACGATTATTTGAAGTGGTATAGCAGATCGGCCAGGGAAAGCCTACCACAGGAGGACCTCCCGATTGACACCACCCATGGGGACAAGTCCTTGTACCACCCCGTCATTTTGCACAATGTCAACCGTCTCTTGTTAGAAATGTTTTACGGTAAAATTAGCGACTCTTCCGTGGAGCACCTGATCATGTTCAATCACAATTTGCTGTCCATATACAGAATTTTGAAGGCGCTGATTGGGACCAGTGCAAATTTGGTTAGTTTTAACGAAGTTGTGAACAGAGTTGATACACTTTCGAGGAGAAATGATAATAGAATGGTAGCTGCTAACACTACGGAAGAGTTTATGGTAACCATAATGGAAAATTCTCTGTACTTCAAAATAACAGAAACGCTGAAAAGGAAAAAGTTAAGTCCAAACAACGTCTTTATAACCTATATAGAATATTATTACATTTTGCTCGATTTTTATTGCAAATATATTTACAACAATTTTGTGAATAACAGAAGGAAGGATTTTCTTGGAGATCAATTTTTCCACACATTTCAGTACATCACTCTTTTTTTTTGTAAAATTTTAAAAATTAACAAATGTTTTCACGTACTGATTGAAATAAAATTAAATAATTATTTTGGATTGAACTACGATATTTTTAACAGCTTTGTCAGTCTGTTCACTTTCCTTTTTTTCTTCTCCCTGAAATATAAAGAGATGAATGGATTAAATGAAGAAATATCAACTTGCTTACTTTTTCTTTTGAAAAAAATTAATATTAACAAACTCAATGCGTATATTTTCCAAATTTTTTCTTATCTGGAACATGAAGATTTGTTGCGCAGGGAGAGGAAGGAAGGAGCTCAGGTCAAACCACGAAATATGTTCAGCTCTTCCGACAGAGAAAACACACACACGGATGAAAACGATGAACAGGAAGCGGGACAGCAGCAGCAAGATCATAGCAATAACAGCGATCGTAACCCCTTGGGGGTCAATTTCCAATCTGAGAATAACTCCAGAGACAGGCTCAACTATGGCGACTTCGCCAACTTCAAGTACGAGAAGGACCAAATGGACATCAAGGAGAACTTCCGCATTGACATTTCCTTTTTGAAGATGTTCGTCTTGATGGACCAGGTGCGACACGTACACTTGTCCGCCCCCCAGAAGGGCAGCGAACGGGACAGCAGAAAGGGGAGCACAAAGAGCAGCGAAGGGGGAAGCGACAGCGACAGCGACAACAGTGATCGAAGTGATGGAAGTGATCAGAGCGAGCGAAGCGACCAAAATGAACAAAGCGATCGGAGCGATATGAACAATCGGAGCGACCAAAGTGATAACGACCGATCCAACTTCTCCCATCGCTCCTTCCGAAGCACGCACGAGTACGCCACGGAAAACTTCAGCCTGGAGGAAATTTGCGTGGTGACCCTCATGCACCTGTTCCAAGTGGAAGACCACAAAGCAAACTTCATCGCAGACCTCCTCAGAGTATATGAAGAGGAAAAAAAAAAAAAAATATACCCATGCACGGAGGCAATTTTAAAAATATTTCAAAAAATCATCAAAAGGAAAGGCATCACCTACTTTCACCAGGATGTGTACAAGTCCTTTCAACACAAAGTACTTCAAATGATACACAGTGTGGAGATCCTCCAAAGGAAGTGGGTCACGTGGGTCTTCACACATTGTGACAACGCCTTCAAAAGGGAAAAAGACATTGACATTAAAAAACTGGTCAAGCTCTTTTTTCTCTCCTTCTACAAATTTTTGAAGCGATATTTTGTACAGATAAATACATTTTTGAAAAATAAAAAAATGTACAATACCCATAACAGTTTTGACGACTTTTATTTTTTCTTCTTCTCCAAATATATTAACAGAATTTTCACAGAAAACTTTTCCTCTTCCTTCATTTTTAAGCTGACCAAATTCTCCATCCTAAATATATCAATATCGATTGTGAACTACATGCTGAAGATGATCAATATTGTTAACTTACAAAGGTTGAAGGATGTGCATAGCGAGTTGAGCAATTCGTTGTGTCCAAGCTCAGTTACACCTCCTACCCTTTTAAAAGTACCTAATGGGGAGCATACCCTCCGGAGAGAAGACACAAGGGAGGAAATGCTTCTTCACTTGCCCACGGAGCAGAAAAATCAATCCATGACATTCTGCACACAAAATGGGAAGAGACACGAGTCAGCCACCTTTAACAACTTTATGAAAAATATTATTATTAACCACAAGACGTTACTGAACAAGCGGGAACTATATTCTACAAAGAGAATAAATATTTTTCAAATAGGAAGAGATCCAAGGAATCACACCAACAATGGTTATACCATGGATTACTTGCAGGACATTCTTCTCCTTGAAAAGGAGAATCAGGATTGGAACATGATGAGCAGTAGCAACTTTTTCTCTAACAGGGTTGATACTACAGGGAAAATTACAAACTCTCGTCAGAATGGATTTGCCAATGATGGGGCAGGAGATTTATGTGGTACTCATATGGATAACTTACAAACGAACGTTCAACGAAATTATCGCAAGGGCCAAGTTGAGCGGCTACTTCACCCATCCACAGTCAACTTCAGTATGAACAGTTCTTCAATCAATGGGAACTCTTCTATTCAAAATGGAACATATGAAGAGGAAATACAAAATTTATCACCTGTACAAAGATATAATTTCACCTTTTCAAGATTCTTCAATCACATAAAAAATTTTCTAATGATCGTTCTGCAAAATAATTACGTTTTTTTTCTCAGTGACTTTTTACTAATGCATTATGAACAGTCAGACAAAAAACATAATTTGTTCCAATATAATCTGAACAAGTCAGGTGGATTTTACTCCGTTTTTAATTTCCTCATTAATGAGTATATCGAGAATTACTACAAAGATAAGTACGCACACTTGGGGTGTCGCTCGGTCAAGACTCCACATTTTAGGAAACTCAACGAACAGGTGATCAATCGCATCCTGCTTCTCTTTTCCCTTCTGCTGGAGGCTTCCTGTCAGCTCTCCTTTTTGGAGGAGATCAACAGTGTGTGTGCAAACATTTCGAATCAGATTTTTTCCCTCTTCGACACTTCTCACTTGATTTTGAGTTTATTTTCGAAGGTCACCCTGAGCGTCATTCCAAAGGTGAGATAAGTGAGGCGAACCGGATCGTGCGAGCGGTAGCGCGCGAAGAGGAACGTGCGAAGCGCGCTTGGCGATTGAGATAGGCCACTAAAAATAATACATTGTACATTACACGTGTTCTAACCAAACGTAACCCTAAACTTTTCACTCCATCCATCACCCCTCATCATGACGGCTTTGCATCACCCCTTTCTTCCACAGAACGACGTCGTGAGCCAAGCCATCAACAACGACATCCTGAGCATAGAAAAAAAGCAGGCGGAGGAAAAGAGGGAAATCCTCACCATATCCCTGCTTTATTTCCTCACGTACAATTACAAAAATATATGCAATTTATATTTGAGCCTGAACCGATTTTTTAAGATGAACGACTTCAATAATATTTATTTCTTGTGCAAATACAGCCAAGGCTTCCTACCCCTCCCCAAGGTGATCAACGTATTCCTGCAAAAGATTCTGTTTTGTCTGAACAAAGCGAAGGATGCATTTTTGGACAGCGTGAAATTGGCTTACATGAAGAGGATCTTCCACGTGCTCAAATTTATATACGATTTTATAAAAGACAACGACTTGGTAACCGTTTCCATATTTCGAAATTTGTTCAACGTCCTGCTGTGTATCGTCAAAGGATACGTGAAGGAGAGCGCGAGGGAGAAGAAGATGAACGAGCCCCCTTGTGAAGTTGAAGTGGCGTCATACAAATTCTACCATTTGCGCGTTTTGAACTTGGCTCTCCACTTTGCCAACGCTATTTATTTTAACCTGACCCCGGTGGAAAAGCGAACTGGGGATACACCCAACAAAGGGGACGCTACCAAGAAGGAAGGCGCAAAGGGAGGTGATGCAGGAGGAGAGGCAGTAGGAGGAGGAGCAGCAGACGCGGCGGCAGAAGCAGAAGGGCTCTACCGAAAGGAGCCATTCTGGTACAACATAGACAAATTGCTGGACCTATTCACTTGGAGGTTAAAAAAAAACACCGAAAAATTCCTATACTCGAGAACCCACCACCTGTACACAAAGGAAGCAAAAAAAGAAATAACCATTTACATGCATAACCTTAACATCATGTGTGAGCTGTTCGAGCTCATTGTCAAAGGTATTTATACCAAGGAGAATCTGGTGTACAGATTACTAATTAGAATTTCCTACGACCCTACCATTTCTAGCATATTTTTTAACATAAACTACGACAGCGTGCACCAAATGATAAACTCCTACCAGGACCTGCAGAGGAAAAATATGGACTCTGCTCAAAATATAAAATTATTGCTCGTGAACTGCAGAGGTGTTAATGTAAACGCGTATGGAGTGATCAATGATGACTCGCTCATTGATAATGTGCTTGATTTTATTAACCAGAGGAGGATAAACCATAAGTATGTACTAAACCTAAGCGAGCATAGGAAAGCTGTGCATCGTGGAGAGGACAACTTATTCGAGGAGAGCAGCCACTCCATTTCTGTCCGAAGTTTAATTCAAAAGAAGATCGAACTGTTGGATTCGGATTATGTATATAATAAAATTTTCAACGGGAAGGCAAAAAGATATGGAAAGAAAAATTTTCTCTTTGACGTTAGGAACTACCTCTACTGTTTGAACGTTTGTGGAGGAGGGGGAAATGGTGTACATAGCGGAGCTAGTAGTGGGAACGCCATCGCGCAGGAGCACCTCCGCCAGATTGACCTATTTCCTGGGTCGAGGTTACCGCCCGGCAGCGCGGTGCGTATGGAAACAACAGGGCCAATGCATGACGGGGGTCGGCGCTCCCAAGGGGCACTGTCCCCAGAAGGCCTGAAGCATGCACCGTTCGGAGGAGGAATACTCGGCGACCACCACCCCACCCTCAGAGAGTACAAGTCGGACCAAATGCTGAAAAAAAAAATAGACGCCTCAATTTTTAACAACTTACAAACCATTTTACCAGACGAAGAGAAGCACAACTCTGCTGCTGACCCTGTGGGAGCAGCCACTGGTCGCAGCCCTTCCGAATCGCGTAAAAAATGCATGGATGTAAAATCAAGTACAAATGGATCAGATGCTTTGTCCAGAGAGGACAAGTCTAGGGAGCAAAGCGAGTGGCCTTTCAACGCGTACTGCGCAGACCATTGGATCGACCCGTTTTTTCCCCCGAGTGATGAACACATGGAAAGGAAGAAAAGAAAAAATAAGGAGAAAAAAACAAAACAAAACACACACATTGGTAGTAATGACTCCGCGGTGAACTCGCCCTCGAGCATATTCATTTATTCGAAGTTTTTTAAAAACGAAGTGGAGTGCATGCAATATATTAATCTGACGCAGAGTACCTACGACAGCAGGATGCGGCTCTTCCTTATACTTTACAAACTAGTAATTATAATAAAGCATAGGGAGTTGCTTCATGATGAAGTGTTCCGGAAGGAGGAAAGCCAAGCATTGAAAGAGGCAAACATAAGTGGAAGCATTCCCTTTCTCTTCTTCGTATTCGAATCCATTATTACTTTTATTACTCCTTCCATACAAGTGAATAAAAACTCACTGTACTACGTCCTCGTGTCAAATATTTTGATTAACCTGCTGACCATTATAAGTGCGAGAAGCTTCATGAGTGAGGGTTGTGAAGTGAGAAGTCACGTGGGCCACTCGGAGGAACACACATCGAACAGTCAACCTGGTGTGGAAAAGAAGAGAAGCAATGATAAGAGTTCGTTGAAGCATTCACATGATGCATTTGTTAATGTGAATGTGAATGATGAGGGGATGGACTACTACCACCAAGGCAGCTTCTATATGGACATGTTCGTCCATGAGTCCTTCATTTCTAATGTAAAAAATAAAAACGATCACATCGTCTTTGACATTCTGAGTAACATGTCCCAGAAGGAAGTAAACAAGTATAGACTCGTTGGCGAGGGCAGCACACACCAACACCCAAGACATAGCAACACGGAAAGGAAAAAAGATTCTTCTAAAAAAAAAAAAAAAAAAAAAAATGAAAACAGCCTTATATACCATGTGCCACTCCTCCTCTCATTATTCGTCCGATGTGTCACTTTGCATCTTCAGAATTTTAAATTCCATCACAAGAATTTATACATACAGAAAAACTTCAACGCCTTGCATGTGCCCAGCTCCATCCTGAAATGCATCTTCCCTGAGAACCATTTTAACATCAGCCTGTTTGTTAATCTGCTAGAACTGTTCTATGTTACGATTCGAATTTATAACAATCACTTTGTAGGACTGAACAGGTCGCTCTTCCATGTCGGGGTGGAGGGCGCCTCAGCAGTAGGGGGAGATGGTGTAAAAGAAGAAGCAAAACGAGCAACCAGCAACAACATACAAGGGGAAAGAAGCATGATCGGTAATGAGAATCCCCCCGGTAGTAAGTCAACCCACAAGCAGGACGACCCCCCAGATGGTAGTAACAAGGAGCACCTCCACTTGTACGTATCAACGATGAATGGGATCCTAAATGAATGCTACCAAGCTCATCACGAAAATATGAAAAACAAAGATAGCAATGTGGTTAAGTCGAACCCAATAGAACGCATGCTTCTTTACTTTCTCTACAATAGAATAAATACTGTGTATGACCTTTTTTATAATTTTTTTTTAAATTGCCTGAGGGAAAAAAAAAAAAAAAAAAAAAAAATTTTCGACATAGCAAATGAGTACATCTACGGATTCTTAAAAAACGACATCTATGATCACATGAACAGAATCAACAATTTTCTGGACCTGACCGAATACTACGACTTTTACGTGAACACGCTGACTTTCATGGTTTTAAATAAAAACACCTGCCTGCACATCATTAAGGGTGATATCCTTACCAAGCTACTCTACGTACCAGACGTGTATCATGCTATATTCGACAAGAGTAAAACGTTCAGTGCCATCTACTACTTGAACCACGACAACCACTACGTCCGCAACAAGAATCACATTATTCTCTGCTCCCTCATCGTGTTGCTAATAAAGATGCTTTACGTTTTTGTGAAAAATGTCAAGGGCGGAGGAGGAGGTGGAGCAGCAGGAGGAGGAGACAGGGGGGGCTACTTCGACGCCAACCCCTTTGGAGGGCCTGACTTGGATTATTTAATCATGCGCAGGATGGTGCCCCCGGGGGAAGAAGCCGCTAGCGTAGCAGCAAAAGGAAATGTAGCGGACGGGTGGGGAGCCCACCATGGAGACACACAAGACGGAACACGTGGCCAACGCGGCGGAGAAAAGTTTGTCGACGACATGCACATCTTGAACGGACGCCCCCACACAGAGCGAACAGACGATCACAAAGACACGCAACACCGAGACCAAACGGAAAACGAGTCCGAGTTCTTCCTAGACGCCATGTTAGACATTATAAGCAAGCTATCCGATCGAATAAATTTCATTTTTTTAAAAATTGAAAAAATAAATTGCCTTGCCATTTTTGAAGAATCATATTTGTACGTAGAGCTACTCACAAAAACTTCTTACTACTGCAGTAATTTTAATATAAATCACATGTTAATATCGTTAATGAGTAAGGGAGTAGAGCACCACCTGTTTTATATAAATCGTATATTGGAGAAATTTATATTCGAGAAGGAGGTCATCATCGATCCGTACAGTCCTTATGAAATCACTGCATCTTCTACTAGTGAACCCATTGACACGGATAGAAGGAATAGGAGGAAGAATGACTTGTCTTTGTTCACGCAGAGAGTTCTTTACCTTTGTTATAAGTGTATTTTAAATTATAACACCATCCTGCTGAATATAATTCAAACGCCCTACTTCACCTACTCCTACTTTGTGGTGCACATGTACATTCTGCTTTTGAAGAGTACTCGGCTGGTCACCAACATCATGGAGCACTTTGGCCGCAAAAACACGACGCTCATCCGCACGGTAAGTCCCCTCCCCTGTGCCTGCACACCGCGTCTCAAGAACGCAGCGGCCGTACAAACGTAGCTGGTCGTACGAACCACTCCTTAACGCCGCTTCTTAACCCCCCTTCCCACAGATCAAAGTCCACGCGGGGCTGTCCTACGTGCCCATCTGCCTCGACATCGTGAACACCACGAAGGAGAAGAAGAGAGAGAAAATTCATTACGTCCGGGGAACAGCCAAGTCCAGCCGCAGCTGCTACCTAAGCGATAGTCACTCGGGAAGCGAAGCCTCAAACAACTACCAAGGAGAAGTAGTCCAGTACAACCGATCCGTTGACGAGTATATAAATACAAAGAGAGTTTACAAAGACGATTACATGTTTAATTTTCTTCCAGAAATGATTGAATTAAAAAGTTATTATAATATTCTAAGAGAAATTCTCGAGAGGAGTGCCTTTTTAGGAGCCTTCATTTTAGAAAAACTAAAAGATACTTGTGAAGATTCGTGTCTCAAGCAGATCCTCATAAGCAACGTCTGCTCCTACCTCATCCACATCAACGCCACGCTCTTGCCGTCAAACATATGCACCAGTAACTTAAAGAAAAAGTGCACCTTCATTTATAACTACGTTGTAAATATACATAAGAAGTGAATTTGCCTCCGTGTATGTACTCTCTATCCATCGCGTTCACTTTTTTTTTTTTTTTTTTTTTTTTTTTTTTTTTTTTGTATTCCATCACCCACCTACGCAGTGCATTGTCTCTCTGTGAAATTTTGTCCCACTCAGAGGAGTGCCCCCGAAAAGGGTTTTTACATGTAGGGGGGTATACGTGGAGATGGGTTGTGCCACTCCGCAACTTCCCTCTCAAGTGAATTAAAAAAAAAAATCGCATTTCACATAATGGCACATGCGTCCAGTTCGTAAGGTATATAATGGGGAGGCGATAACAAATTGGGTTCATATATGTGTACATGGCCAGATGGGCCAAAAAAAAAAAAAAAAAAAAAACAAAAAGGTGCAGAGAGAGAAAGGTGCATTTTGTGCGCGTGCAAAAATGGAAAACAAAAACTAATCAAAACAAATAACGAAGAGGGAAAGGGAAAGGAAAAAAAAAAAAAAAAAAAAAAAGGGGATGGGGGAAAAACACGATGGTGCGCTATTATAACACGTATGCACACACAAACACCCATAAGAGGGAGAGAGGAGATACAATCCCGCAAAAGAACATTTAAGAAAAATTGACTAAGGAAATTTTAGAAGCCATAATTTTTTTTTTCTCCAACGCATGGGAGTATATATTACATGCGTGTCCAGGGGGGGCATAAAAACCCTGGATCTGAAATTTTGTAATGACGAGGATATGGAAGGCGCCGCACAACATCTCTTCAACCTTCTATGCGGGGGCTCGCTTCAACTTGCTTCTCAACACCCCCCCCACACACACACATACATGCACCTTTCAAAATAACTCCGCATCGCTCTCCACATCCTCATCATACAAATTGAGGTCCAGCTTGTACCTGAGCATTCCGCCAAAGCCCCCGAACCCCTTTTGAAACTGGGCCCCCTCCTGTGATTTGTTCGTGACAAAGTCTAGGGAAGCCCCATACCTCTTATAATTATTTATGACCCAATCGGTAAGAGAGATTTTTTCCACTACCTCCAACTCCACATTGTTTTCTTTGTACAAGGATTCCTGCTTCTCATCTTGAGGAGAAATATGCATCGTCCTAGTCGTATTCGTAATAGCATTCCTCGTAGTTAATCTGATTATGTCTAACCCTTCATATAAAATAAGTAATTCTACAGCCCCGATCTCTAGAGCCTTCAATGTATCCTCAATACCATAAACAACTTTTCCTGTGTCTTGTGCAATTTCTTCAAAAAATTTTCCAATCAGTTTTTTCTCTTGAATAAATTTAACATTTTGTAGAGCCTCGGAACTTAATTCAATGGCCTGATTAAAACCATTATCTCCTCCATAGGATATATCGACAATTTTTATGACCTTAGTAAATAACCTCTGATCAAACATATCACTATGCATGAGATCGTTTTTGAAGTCTGCACTTCCAGCAAGCACAATACCAGAAACATTAATTTTGTCATTTGTTATAAAAACAGATGTAGCCACTTCTGCCACTTTTCTTAAATAATTATGTCTCTTTTCTAATCGCAGACGAGCAAAACGTAACGCACTTTGACCTCCTCTTCCATGCTTCTTTGGTAGGTCCACAGTAAACCTCCTAATCACTTCTCTCGTATTTCCTTGTATGGTACCAAACAGGGCCCCGTTTCCATCCACTATAATGAACCCAAATTTGTCATCGCTCTCAAGCAACTCCTTTAGAGCTTCTACATGAAATTTGTTATCACAGAGGTAGAGACTTGTGTTGATTGGCCTGAATGGTTCAAAGTCGATGGACATTTTTTTCTCCTTTCCATCTTCCGTTATGACCGTCCCGCAGAACACGACCAGTCCCTTGGGGGGCGTTTTGCTATACAGCTTCAGTTCTAAGTAGGAGGGGCGAAGAGGGGAGAAGTGGTTAGCCACAAACGCTACAACCGTTACGAACGCTGCAAACACACGCATGACGGCTTGCACGCACGTTGAATCGCACCGCCGCGAGGCGCACTTTTTGCGCTGCTTACTCTGCTGCGTGGACGTAATGGCAGACAACACACTCAGGCGGTTGACTCGACTTTTGATGTTGGAGGCCGTGCCCAACTCATCTGCAAGCATTTTATTTATTCGAGAAACTTCATCCTTGTTCTTAATAATAAGACTGATCATGCTCGTTCCGTTCCTTTAGTGGGGGGGGAGAAAAAAATAATGCAAGTCATAATATATCAGGTGCGGGCCGTTAATATACATACTTGTAAAAAAGCCATTATAAGCATTAATGAGGGATTGTAGAAAAACTATTCCTCATGTACTTTTTAAAATACATATCAGGGGTATACGTCCTCCCTCCTCACTGCACAAATTGAACAAGCACACGACACTTCACAACGTGAAAAAGATTTTTTTTTCTACATCTGTCTCCTACCCCTTGGCATTCTCCAGCTTCTTTATGAGCCTCTTGATTTTCCATTGTTCAATGTTGGCATCTCGATCTTCATCCATGGCGTTTTTTTTTTTTTTTGGGGGGGAGGGGTTTATTTAGGGGTGTGTACAAGGTGGGTAACCGCGTGACGGTGGTGATCAAAAACTGCCTCAAGAGGTTATATATATAAAATGGCCTGGTTGTCCAGCAGGGTAGTTTTTATAATATAATTTGCAACCTGCTTTGTGCCCCAGTTGGCCACGTAAAAAAAATGGGTTAAGCGAAAGGGAGAAAACACAACGACGACAAACTCGGTTATGCGACAAAAATGGTCGGCGCATCCCCCCCGTATCAAATGGGGCAAACAAAATGACAGGAGGGGCCCTCTGGTGGTGAGAGAAACGGGGGGGGGGGCGAGAGAGAGGGACGTTCTTTTCTCCTTCCTCCTCGAAGTTCGGCCGTACATAATGTTGTTAGGCAAAGCGCGCGTGTATTTTATGACGTGCGGGGCGCCATCTATGCTTCGGGAAAAAAAAAAAAAAAAAAAACAAAGGAAGGAAGGAAGGAAGGAAGAAAAGAAGTGAAGGTGCAGATATGACGAACGTAGAAGGCAAATAAAACTACGAACACGCAGATAACGGAAAAAGCGACGGAGGCGGGATTTTTTTCCTTCTCGTCCCTTTGATTCAAACATGAAGAAAAAAATATAACATCTCCTGTTTTGTTTTTTTTTTTTTTTTTATTTTTTCGCTTTTCGTTCAAAATGGATTCCCTTTCCCAACTGCGCCTTGAAAAGTGCACGTTGCTTTTTTTTTTGGTTGTTTTTTTTTCCTCTGCGCCCACAACGCTAAGCAGTATACCCCCTGCCGTGGGTTGGCTTGGCAGGCTTACAGGCGGCTGGGTAGATATAAATACATATACAATAATACAGTGCATAAATATTATAATACACGCCTGGCAAAAAATACTTTATTTATTATGCGCTTTGTGCAACAATGAATTTTTTTTTTTAAATACGACGCTTCAATTTATCCTGGCGACTCTTTTTTTTTTTTTCCCTTGCGCTGCTTCAAACTTAATCGCGCATTGTTAGGCTCCCTTCATATTTTCGCGACTGCGTTTCGCGCGAGTATGCAGCGTCTACTCTATCTCTGTACGTACATACGCAATGAATTCAATTCAACCCATAAAAAGCTTCCTTTGGAGGGGCCGGTACCCTTCTTTTTCTCGCGCACGGGTTCGTTAGGCTTGCACTACCGTTGGGGCGCGACTCGTGGAAGCAACACGCGCCGTGCATATAATTTATATCTTATTTGCAGCTGACATAGGGGCAAAATGGATGTTTGGCAACTGCCACAAGGAGCTTCTGCCCAGTGTAAACCCTTTAGTGATTAGAAACACATGGATGCATTTGCTTCAGTTCATGTTGCACATTCTGCGCGGTGCGTAGTGTTTATATATTATTTTTTTTGAACTCTTCTAAAAAAAAAAAAAAAAAAAAGAGGGAGAGTGTTTTTTTCTGCCTATTTCTATCGCCTTTTTTTTTTTTTTATGTTTCTTTCCTTGGTGCCCCCTGGGGGTCATCATCACATCGCGACATATAAATACACAGCACGCACATTAGGGTAAGGAAAACGGAGCCCAACCCCCATATAACAGTGCTACTGCAGGTTTAGGGTTTTGTTACACTTGGTTTTTCTCTTCCTCATTCTGCAACGATTGTCACGGTTTGGCCTCTTCTTCACTCTCTTCCATCCTTGTATTCACTTTTTACCGGGACAATTTTTTTTTTTTTTTTTTTTTTTTTGCCAAAGGGTAAGTGTACCCGAGGTGGGTTGACTGTAAAAAAAAAAAAAAAAAAAATTGAAAAGAGATGCCTCCTACATGTTAGCATATGCTAAATGGTGACTCGAAAAAAATGGCTACATGGCTACTTAACAACGTGATGAAGCGAAATGCACATTTGTTCACCCCGATCTGTGTGCCTCGTCCGCAGAGTATTAGGAAACTTTGGGGAGTCGCTTCGGAAGTAGCAATGCCCGTCGCACGGTTGGCCGGCCAGCCCGCGAAGTCCATGTTACTCAGCTGAAGTGAACTAAGCTAAGCTGAGGTAATCTGTTCAGTGAGGCACACTGCCTGTATGCTCGCCCGCCCCCCACACCACACACACGCCCGGGCATACAGCCAGATGCACGCCCCTACATAAGTGAATGGGTGCTGCGGACAAAAGCGAATTGGAATTTTTTCCACTACAGCCGCACAGGACAATAACAATCGCGCACGATCAACACAAACACAACAACAGCTGAGTAACCCCGCCGTGGGGACGAGAATACACTCGAGCGGCTACTCCACGAATCGCCTAATCATGTAAGAACATGTTCGAGAAGGACTTCTTGCACATGCAAAATAACGCTCACTTCGTTTGTGAAGGGGGATAGTGCAAATTATATTAGTGCAGCGGGGGGAAAGCTAGCCTGGACACAGCCCGACCTACCGGTGAAGCTCTCCAATTGGCGAGGCTGCCAACTGGTGAAGCTGCTTCAACTCGTGAACCCGAATTACCCACGTAACACCACCCCCCACACACACAACCGCTCAACCCCCTAAAAGAATGAAACAAAGCGCACTGGTAAAAAACGCCTTGTATTGCTTTGCGAGGTGGCGCCAAAATGGTGCACACGTAAATGCAGCCATGGGTGGTGTTGCGCGTGGTGGGGTAGACCTCTGGACCAGCAAAGTTGTGCAGACGCGAACAAGCAGTGGCAGCAGTGCCCCCAAGAGTAGCTTCAATCTGCATGACAAAATAAAAGACATAACCGGAAGTATCGAGAACGATGAAGTCACTGAAGAAAACGACTCACAGAAAAGGAAGCCTTCTAAGAAAGTATTAAAGCTTGTTGACGAAATTTTAAATTTGACCTTAATTGAAGCAGCAGATTTGTGTGACCTGTGTCAGGAAAAGTTGGATGGAGAAAAACAATTCAATAATTCTGTTTTTGTTAACAGGAACCCTTTTCCACATCCCTCTGGCTTCTTTAGCGCAGCAAGTTTCGCTGCCTCCAGTGTACCTCCAAGCATGAACATTCCCTTCCCTAATCATGTTGGTGCTGTGGGGGGTGCTCCGGGTGCTTCCGCGCCTAGTGTAGGCGCAGAGGGCAAAAATGAACAGGCAGGGACAAAAAAGGAAGAAAAAAAAAACACCAAAAGTACATTCAACGTCAAGTTGGAACATTTTGACGTAAAGAATAAAATTAACACAATTAAAGAAATACGAAAAATAACCAACGTTGGGTTGAAGGAGGCCAAGGACATGGTGGAGAGCGCTCCGTTCTATGTGCAAAAGAGTAAGGCCCACTCCCCCTTTCTTGTCCCATTTGCATGCCATTTGTACCCCGTTTGCGTCCAATTCGCATTCCACTCACCCCCCTTTTACCCCCCCCTTTTAGACGTGCCCGCGGAAAAGGCAGAAGAAATGAAAAAAAAGTTCGTAGAACTGGGAGCCACAATTATATTGGAATGACGGAACGTGCGAGTGGCGTTTTTTTTTTTTTTTACAAAATGGAAGAAGAATGCCATGTGTGTGGTGTGTACGTGGATGCGTGTATGTACACCCCTGCAGGGGAACCCCTTCTTCGGGAGTGTCCCCTTACGGAGGAAGATGAAGCCCATGCCGCTGTTCCAAAAAGGGAACCATTTTATAATTAAGGAAAATGTTTCGAATTAAAAAGTTACTTAAAAAAAATATATATATATGAATGCCCGTCTGGCTCCTTTTTGAAGCGAGAAACGGAGTTGGACGCACGCACAGCCATAACGCGGGTGGCTTCCCCGGGTGCTCTTCCCACACATGCAAACCTCTCTGTGCATTTTTTCCCCTTCCAAATTTACAACTGTGCGTATTCCACCAAGCCCTGGCCGTGTCACTATACGCCATAATGCCATACGCTTGCACGTGAGCTCTGTGGACACTACAGGTGGGTGTGATTTCATGCGCGCTTTTTTCTTGTGCATATGCGCAGGTCCCTTTCCTGCTTATATACACACTCAGCGTCGTTAGTAGAACATACCATGTACAGACGTAACGTTGAATTTTTTTTTTTCTTCTTTTTTTTTGGTAAACAATGAAACACCTTTTTACATCAAATAAAAGGACAAAAACGGTGGGTCATTTTATAAAATGATGAACGCACCTCCTCTCCCTTTTTTTTTTTTTTTTTTACCCTTCGCTCTGCCTGATCGATCTATGTAGGATAACTTGTCTCCCTCTCACCCGAACGAATCTCCATTCAAATTATTTGCTGAATTCACGTGGGGAGCGAAATGATGTGGGGCGTTATTCTGGGTGTGCCCATTCGGCTGTGCGCCATACGTTTGATACTCCTCACAGGGGAAGGCGGAGGGGTAGCTTGTCATGTAGGTGGTTGGATTCAACATTTCGTATGTAACCGAATTGGGCGGTAAGTACGTGAAGGGGTCAATGATGCCCAGAGCGTAACCCTCGCCCTGACTACCGTTAGGTAAGACACACCTCGACACACTTATTCCGTCCGTCCCATTGACATACTCCTGCTTCACTCCTACATAACCATTGGTGGGGTTCACTTGTGAGAAGTGTGCATCATCCATCATTGTGCCTTTCATCCCGTTCAAATGATTAACGGGGGAAGGTTCTACTTCGAGTGTCCTGTGAGAATTTCCGTTTGTGTCACACCCTTCGTCGTTGCCATAGTGCGAATTTTCCATACTTGAAACAGGGCCGAATTCCTCCTTAACCATATTTGACCTTCCGCTGCCATTTGCGTGGTTAACCAGAGGGGGCATCATACCACCGCAAAGGCTCTCCCCAATTTGTGTTCCTTCTGCAGTGGGTAGGTCTTCACCGGGTGAATTAGCTCCTGTGAGCAGTTGCCCCGCTTCGTCCTCCGCCCGCGAATGGGCTTCAACTGCGGTTGCAACTGCGGATGCGACTACGGCTACAGACTCAACCTTTTCTTCTTCTTTCACGCCATCCTCCTCCCCCTCTTGGTACCCCTCCTCCTCTTCGTCGTCCTCTTCCCCGTCCGCTTCCCCATCCGCCAGCTCGTAGAGCCTATTTCTGTAACTCTGTAAAAAGGGGAACTTGGCTTCAAAGTACTTCCTAAGGGAAATCTCACTGGGGACCTTAAAGCGGTGAGCGTACACCCCCTGCAACATCTTCTTGTGATGATTTATAATTCTCACCACCTTCAGGAAGTTATTAAGTAGAACAGTTACCTCCGCGTGGCTGTTAATACAATTTTTTACATTGAACTTGTTTAGCTTATAATTAAGGATTTGAAAAACGTTTCTTGTGACATCTAGAGGAGAGTTATTGTTGCTGTCTCCAAATGGAGCTTCACCTATGGGTAATTTAAAACACAATGCTATTTCATCACTTTTAATTTTTGTTCCTTCTTCTTTTATATTTTGAATGATGGGTTCTTCTAATGGAATGCTTTTTACATACTCGTATGTTTTTTTCTCGACTTCCTTGTCATTATTATTTTGGCTAGCTGGTTCTATAAAAATTTTCCTTTTCCTACCCTTGCGCTTGACTTGTTTCTCTTCCACTTTTACACCTGTATGTAATATGTGTCCTTGGTCTACAGGGGCGATTTGTATTTTTTTTTTCCTTCCTCGAGTTCCTTTTTTCTTCAAGGGTACTCCTCCTTCCTCTACACCTGCCGCTGCATCTACCCCTACACCTGCCACTGCATTTACCCCCGCATCTGCCCCCGCCTGCACTCCATTCAGTTGGTGTTCCTCCTGCACTTCCGTTTTCACTTTAGCTACATTCATTTCACTTGCGACTCCTTCGTATGGTACATATGCATCTGTTGCACATCCCTGCTGTATCCCTCCTCCCGCAAAATTTCCTTCAAGTGTCCTACTGGGGGGAGATAACCCCGCTGTCACATTTACCCTCTCACCATTATGATCCACTTGGGATGAACAACCTTCTACACCATTGTTCAGAACATGCGGGTGGTGAGCAGTATCCGTTTTATTGTCCGTTCCATTTTTACATGCTTGTGATTTGTTCTTCATATAAGAAGAACTTACATTCATTAAGAAGTTGGTGTACGAGTTACTCACATTATCGTCTGTACCTTTTCCTATTGTATACTTATTGTTTCTTAGAATCATTTCCACAATATTCTTGTTGAGTGTGGTGATGAATTTACCTTTTTGCTCACTTGGATTCTGTGCCTGCAGTTGCAGGTATTCCTTGTAGCTTTCGAGGAGTTGACTGTTAGAAAGGACGAGATGCTCGTTTGCTTCAAGCGAGTGGCCCTCAACATGCTTAGCTATTCCTACACCCTGGGCGTCCTTACCATTTTCAGTCGCATATCCGCTCATAGCAGATACCCCCTCAAAGTTACCCAATTCTCCTCCATTCAATACGTTCACTGTTATTGCTTTTGAACTACCATCGTGGAAATAATTATCATTGTTGCAGTTGCCATTCACGTTGTTCACATTTGAGTACCCACCGACGTTAACGCTGGTACTCATGCTAATGTTGGGTGTGATTTTATTCTTTAGGCTTTTTCTTCTAATCCTTTTATCATTTTTCACTGCGTTTTTTTTTTCCTGGTCCTCTTCCCCTTCCCCTTCCCCCTTTGGGCCGCTATTCTTTCCTTTTCTGGACCTCCCTTTGTTCTTCACCTGCTTCTGCTCCTGTTGCTCCCCCTGTTGCCCCTCCTGTTGCTGCGGTGGGAAGTTGTTACTGGTCGCTGCACCGAGGAACATCTGCGGGTGCAATATCCCCTGCTGCGTGGGTGGCCCCTCAGGACTCTGCCTACCCTTCCCGTAAAAGCTTGCGGCAATTTTACCGTAAAAATTAGCTGCGTTTTTGTCGTAAAAAATGGCGGCGCTTTTTCCATAGGAGTTATCGAAGGCACCTGAACGGCTAACGCCGCCAGTAGCGCCAGCAGGGCCTGCACCCCTTGAAGCGGTCGAAGCGGTGACGCCAAATGCGGAGCCTCCTTTGAAATCGCTCCTCTCATACACAGGCCGCGCGTTGTAGCCCCTTGCCCCCCATACGGGACTCTGGTCAGCATACTGGCTTTCGTAAAAAAAGGCCCCTCTGTTCGCGCCATACGCCAAACGGGGGTCCACCATTTGGCTGTTCCTTACACTTGGGCTGTGGTCATTCTGCGCACCTTTGCCTCCCTGAACGGCTAACTTGTCTGCCCCTCCGCTGTATTGATGATTGAAGGGGGGGTACTCATTGGGAGGGAGATTCATGCTCTGACCCCCCTGAAGGTCGCCTCGAATTGAACCAATACGTCCACCGCCAACACCACCACCAATGCCTCCAGCAACGCCCCCACCAATGGCATAGGCTGCGCTTCCCTTGGGGCTGTATACCACTCGCTCCTCCTTCTTGAGGGTCTCATTTGAAGACTTGTTCAAAAGGTTCATGCTACAATTTATGGTGCTCTTCACGGCATTTCTCATATTCCCTTTCACGTGGTAGGAGCTGTTAGGTATGTTGTTACCACCTGGGTAAGTGGTTCCCTGGTTTCCAAAAGTGCTGTTCAGATTTTGCGGGCTTGTAGCCCTATTGCCATTTTGGCCTTCTAGGAAGTTGGCCCTCGGAGTAGTAATGTACCCCTGCTGCATGGCATTATGGTTTCTCATGATGTTCCTATCCGTCGCGCACTCACCCATGCGATAATTGTCATACCTGTTGTTTCCACTTAGAGTGTGATAATTATTTGCTCTCGGCAGATCGCTTCTACTTTTAATAGAACTTAGCTCGCTGCTCGTGTGGGTCATTCCAGTCTGGTTGTCCACACTATGGAAGCTGTTCATACTGCTCAATCCGCTGGGGTTGGCAAACCCGTTGGCGCTGCCAAACCCGCTCATGGCATCCACTCCTTGCATGCTGCTCAATCCTGAGAAGCCGCTCGGGCGATCACAACTATTGTTTAACTCTGCCCCCCTGTTTTGAGGCGTGTTCACTTGGCTGGTGGGTCTGCTCTGCGCATCTCCACCTGGACCGCCCCCGCCACTGTTCACATTTTCCAAAGTCCTCTGCCTACCATACCAATTGTTACTCTTCAAATCACTGGCATGGGGTTGCAAATTCAACGTCCCCCCTTGAACGCGTTGCCCTGGAATACCTACGGTGGTCATACCGCCGTACGAGTTGTGCATAGCACCCATGTGATTAAAGCTAACTGCTTCCTTACCATTGTCGTAGCCTGTCTGCATGCCCCTTTTTACATTTTTATTCATGAACATATTTTCCATTCTGTTGAGCGCTCCCATGTCGCTCAGTGAGTTGTGGAGGTTCTGAACTCCCCCTAGGTTATTCAACATCCGCATGCTATCCATGCTGTCCATTCTTTCCATGGTGCCGGTGTTCAAGTTGCCTATTCCTCCCATACCTCTCATTCTTCCCATGCCGTTTGCGTAGGTCAAGTTGTTAACGGAATTGAGGCCCGTGTGGTTTGCTCCTGGCCTGTCCTGGAAGTTGCCTGACTCATTCATGTATCCCCTGCCGCCGCTTCCGTAGTTGCCTCCAAATCCGCCACGCATCCCGCCGTAGCCCCCCTGGCTGTTCATGCTGTTCTGACTGTGCATGCTGTTCTGACTGTACATGCTGTTCTGACTGTACATGCTGTTCTGACTGTTCATGCTGTGCTGACTGTTCATGCTGTGCTGACTGTTCATGCTGTTCTGGCTGATCAGCCCAATTCCTCGGTTTCCAAAACTGCTCATGTTCGGATTCACGAACTCCTGTGACAAATTTTCCTTCGGGTCGTAGCTGTACGCCCGCTCCGACATGTTGTTATAAAAGACGCCCTCCTGAGAGGCACCCTCATATTCATTTTGAGCAGACACGTCCTCATAATTAGCGTTCGTTGAGTAGGGGTTACGGAAAAAGTTATTCTCACCCGACATGTTGGATAAAGGTGTGTGGCGTGAGGGAGTGGGGGGCACCACTTCATTTATGAGTTACAGGGGGAGGTATGTAGGCACAGCGTTTTAATGAACACACACGGACATACAAACAATAACACTATCGTGTGCCTTTTTACCTCCCTTCTTGCAGACACTTCAACGTGAAAAAGAGTGGAGCACACACTTGGGATGTCCACTAATTCGTTAGATACTCTCACAAAAAAAAAAAAAAAATATAAAACGCTAATGATCTAATTGCAATTCAAAAATGGTTAATTACACCGCTTTGTCTATGTATGTTAAAATGGGACTACAAAAAACAAAAAAAAAAAAAAAATGTGCATATATGCAAATTCATTTTTTTACATGAACAGGTCATGCGAACACCCTTGGCCTTTCCCCGTTCCATGTGAAGATCAAAATGTGTGTACAGTCAAGGTCATTTACCTCTCCACGTGTCCACGCAGGGGGGAAGTTCTCGCCCTCTTCCTCTCTCTCTATACATATATATATATTTATTTACACAGTGACAGATTAACATTTAGACGGTGGGCGACGTGGGTAGGCAGTTTATCCGGGTGGACATACGCAGCTGGCGTGGCGGGAAACAAATGGACGTGATTGAGGGGAGGCACGATGGTTGTCTCAGGAGACCCTCCCCACACAAGCGGAGAAATGGAGAAACGGGGAAACGGAAAAATGGAAAAATGCAGAAACGGAGAAATGGGGAAATAGGGAAATAGAGAAAAATAGGGAAACGGAAAAATAGCGATATAGCGATATAGAGAAAGGAAGAAACGCCGACACGAAGAAAACTTCTTCCCCTCAACAAAAGCACAGCTCGTTATGGTGCAACCTCAAGGGGGGAGGTAGCAAAAAAAAAGAAAAAAAAAACACAACTATGTGCAGGTGTAAAAACCTCACTGGGGAGGAACAAAGATGGAGAGAAAAATCACTTCAAATGGACATGCGTGAACAAAAGGTCCTCGTGGAAAAGTACACAAATGTACACAGGGGCTTAGCTATGTGTCATAAGAGGGGAGATTATCGCGAGGGAAATGAAGTTAAATTGGGGCCAAAATGGGGGCGACGGTAGTGTAAGCATGAAAAGGAAAGGAAAAAAAAAAAAAAAAAAAAAAAAGAATGAAAATAAGAAAATACGCACATGCGGAGTAAACAGTTAATGACTAATCGCGAAGCGACTAAGGAAAAGGAGATAAGCAAAGCAAACACACGTGCTTTACACTTGGAGGGACTCTTTGGTCTCGCGCGTTTTGAAGGCATTCCCCTGGTGGAATTCTCTCCCAAACGGAGGACGCGAAATGGAGGAAGCCAAATGGAGGATGCCAAACGGAGGGGTTGTGTTCACGTTCTCGCGTACAGTTTTACACGCAGCTGCTTCGGTGCATACCCTTTTTGCGACCACGTGTGCGTGTCGGCAGGCGACTGCCAGGCGACATGTGCTGGACGTGTAAAGCATATGACCCCCCAACGCGAATCTTTAAAAC